GTCGTGGCCAGAGCTGCCATGGAGAACCGGGTGGGTGAGCCATAAGTGGCATAGGCATAAGGGTACCCATCAACATATAGGCGCCAGTGGTGTGCAATCAAAGCTGAATGGATCAACCCCCGGTTCATATAGATATGAAAGCACAGCGGGGCGTGCATATGGGCAGGTGTCCAATGAAACTATGGGCATGTCCAATTGCCATTGCAGGCAACCCAAAACCACATCAGGATGCCTGCCCGCAGTGCCGACCCAACTGCTAGCCAGCCAGATCGGCCTTGCTGGGCATGATGCAGGGGACAATATGTTTAGAACTCATTCGGCACTATGCCAAAGCAATCAACTCATCAATATTAACTATATATATATATACATGCATATGCATGATATGTATACATATATATATATACTTGTGTAAATACATTTCTCAATGCTTTGTTGGTGTGGACTTCCGGCTGCGGTGTTCAGCAAGGCCAGCGCGGAAGTCATCCAAATGGGCTGTTGGCATCACGGTATAAGTTATATACAATGGTCTAAAATAGTCATTTAAACAAAAAGTGGTATCTTCACTCATTCATGCTGCAATAGGTTAATAGATTGGGATGCCTTCAGCCCTCAGCTTTTGTCTGCGGCGGCGATGGCTGGATTGCTCACATATAAGAATCACGCAGGGGTGAAACCAAACCTTTGAAGATTTTAATGTGCACATATAAGTTTTTCTTCGCCGTGATCATTACTGCAAAAGATTTTAACTTTTCCTGTTTGTGTTCATGTGGCAGTGAGCAATCCAGCCATTTGACATGTATGTTTCACCGCCGTTTGCACGAACGTCCCCTCAATTGTAAAAGTGCAAACAAGTTTGAGGATTAATGTTTTGTGTTGAAGCAACCATGCCATCATGTATTCAATTGGATTGAAACAGAAATTCATATTATTTTTTGGCTGAAATTGATGGTTTTTCTGTGGATGTTCATGGTGCCACGATAGGCAGCACTGCTAGCCGCCAGAGAAATGCCGAAACCACAACATGAATTTCTTGCTTTAAGACGGGAATACTGTTTATTATTGATCAATATAAAATCAAATCTTGAATTTCCAAAATTTTATGGATCCATAAAAAATGAACAATATACATTCAAAATTTTGTGGATCCATAAAAAAATGATCAATATACAGTCAAAATTTTATGGATCCATAAAATTTTGATCTCATTTCCACCAAAATTATATGGATCCATAAAATTTTGATCGCATGTCCACCAAAATTTTATGGATCCATAAAAAAAAGAAACAGTATGTAGTCAAAATTTTGTGGATCCACAAAAATTTGAAACCTCTGGTTATGGAGCTTTGTTGTTCCACAAAATTCAGAATGTCAATATTTCCTCAAAAGTCACGGAACTTTTGCGATTCAATCCATCTATCACAGACAATTTTAATCATAAAACCACTCAGTCTGGTAGAAAAAACCTGATAAAATCACATGTTTCGGTGTTTCGAAAAAAGCGTGCTGTCCATCGGGCACAACGCACAGAGACGCCGTGAGACTTCCGGCGTGCAAACAGTTTTGGATCTGTTTGTGGGAATTGCTGAGGTGTTCAATCAGTTTTGCTTTGGGTTAAAACAGTTACCTCAAATCCAAATTGTTTTGTGCAAATTGTTTCTTCCTTGCGTGGACGAGTCATTTGTGATTAAATGTTCTGTTTTAGCGTGGTAGTTCAGATGTTTGGGAACACTGGGCCACACCAAGTTTAAACTATTGATGTGGAATGCGTCAAACTGTTGCTAATATGGGGCAACAATCTGAATGCAATCTCGCTGACATGGAACGATTGAGTCAATTCACATGGGCCAATGGCCCAGGAATCCTCATCCACACTGACAGATCCACTGTCTTGCAACAGCCTGCAGTGTCCATCATCACATCCCATGTTGCACAGACATGGGTACGTGTGCAAACTCTTGGAATTCCGTTGTGTATGCAGGGTCTGCATTTACTCGCATACACACATGCAAGCCTGTCTGTTTTCGGATTGGTTTTGTTTCACTTTGTCCGTGTTTTGTTTTAGGGTAGTATCATAGTATTTCAAATGATTCCATCAATGCATGTCATACACAAATATGGGAATGCTTGCAGGTGTTTCGAACCTTTGGTTCGAATTCGCTGTGTGTGCAGGGTTGCAGTTACTCGCTCACACAGATGCAGGGCTTCACTGCTCGCATACAAGCTCAAGCGGTAGAAACTTACTGTTGGTATTTGTTGTGTTTCTTGCTATGGCTGGCTGGCAGTATAAGATGATGAACGAGCTTGATCGTGAGCGAGCACGCTCAACGGTGGGGTGGTCGAAGTGTGGGCCAACAGCTTCCGGGCGATTGACCCTTATGCTTGATGGCAGTATCCCACTCCATGAGCCCGTCTTCATCAGCACTGGTCCATGTGTGGCTTACAAGTGGCGCGGTGCTGAGATCATGTACAACCCCCTCGGCCTCCTGCTCGTCAGGAACGATGCCAAGAGTGGTGGTGTGGCTCGATGGATGATAGCCCGACCCATAGGGTCATTGGCTTTCACCGTTGATGCCACCCGGGTGGAAGAAGACTTGGTACGCATCAAAGTGATTTGGTTGAGCGGCGAGCAGCTCTTGGAGCACGAGTACCAGGCAGGCACAGCCATGCAGACCATCTTTGCTGACGTCAAGGCAGCCTTGGACACCATGAACAAATACACGGACTGGGACCTGAACACCGTGAGCCTGGCCCACGGAGGCAAAGCGCTCAGAGCACATGGGTCTGTGCAGACTCTCCTCCGTGGCACAGGCAAAGGCCAGGGGAATGCCGGCAGGGCCATGGGCCGAGGCAAAGGCAAGGTGATGAAACGGCCTGCCTTGAAGTGAAGTATGGAGAAGAACATCTGAGTCTTCAGACTGCCATGAGTACAGCCAGCAACAACGGATTTGTTTCAACGATAGCTGGCATTGTTTTTGAAAGCAAGATGTCATCAAAAGGCGTATGCTGCTTGATCAATTCCACTGAATTTCACCAGGTTTTTTGTTTTGAGTTAACAGTTTCAACCCGTACTTTGATCTCATATATTTTACTTTCCATTTAATTTCATTGGAAGTTGTCACGCCTGTCACTTTTCCTTTGACCCACTCCCTTTTCATTGAATCTTCATGCGCGCCGGCCCACGCAGGTGGTCTTCAAAAGATTCAGTCGGGGCCTCCAGAGATGTCATGACAGCGAGCTATGCATATCTATAGCCCTGCTTTTTGCGTGGGCGAGTCATTTTGTTGACCCTGCACCAGACGTGATGTTCTTATTTGCACCCTGCATCATTTGCGATGGCTTGTGAAGGTCTGTTTATGTAGGTTCATTTCAATCTCAGATCAGCCTTGTGTGAGGTCATGCAACCAACACAATGTCTTTGGCAGTATATATTCAGCAATTGTTTGTTTGGCTGGTGGGACATGCCATCAATTTGAATCTTCGACAACGGACCCCAAAGTCTTTTGAAGTCAACCCGCACAGTGGCCACCCTTAGCAGCCGCTGCATTCTGAGGCCAGGCCATACACCATATGCCACACACAACCCACAGTTCGGGCACCCAACACTGTAAGACAGTGCAGGTTGCATTTTTTTTAGTTCACATGGCGGACCGTTCAAACAATGTGTGATCAAAAAATGTCCGAATTCATGTCATTCTCAGCAGCTTGAGTGCCATATTCAAGATGTACTGTCCTGAAGCTTCTAGAGGCACAATGCAGGGCCTTTTGAGACTCGCTTGTGCACACGCAGGGCTTTGCAAAGCTCGCTTTTGCAGCCGTTTGTGTTTAAGAGGCACCTCTTCCACTTGGGAAGAGCTATGGCTGAACTCCTCCAATCCTTGAAGGAGGTGCAGGCTTATTTGACAAGCCAGAAAAATAGACGAGACGAGAAGTGGTAGGATTCTAGAGACCATAGAATGTGCCAAACCTGCAGGTGAATCCGACGTCATCCATGTGAAGGATGAGTCAGAGGTCATCCAAGTCTCGGACTCAGAGGGCAGCGTTGATGCAGATTCTTCCTCTTCAACTTCAAGTGAGGAAGAGAGGCCAAAGGTCGTTAGGAATCCTCCTGTTTTCCAACCAGCTGCAGCTCCAGTAGGGTATAACCTGTGGCAGCATAAGAAATTGAAGACCCTCCACTTGATGCTAGTTGAAAACCAACGAGTGTTTTCGTGCGGCAGAAATGCGGGGGCCTTACATCAGAAACTTGACGTAGCACCTGAATTTGACACGCCACTTTGCAGTTTGTGTTTCAGCCGAACGAGAGAGTGAACAACCTCAATCATGTTTCAACAGTGTGTCCGGTGTGGACTCTTTGTTTGCAGTGCACTCCAACAACATGTCAAGAGTCTGCTGGGCAGTTTGCAAGTCAGACGTTGGACTGAAACCGCGAGTATGACATGGGAGTTCAAGACTTCATGTTACACGAGACGCCAGCCACAACAAGTGGCTAACCGGTGTCTGCAGCTCAGTGATAAGTTTCAATTTATTCATCCAACGGAGTTTGATGTTTCAGTTTTCGCTTGTTGTCTGGAGAGGGTTGCATTCACTCAGAAGTTTCATGGCTGTATGATTTCGACGGCAGTGTGAGAAAAATTGGCTGGTGTGAGCTTCAATCAGGCAGTTATCACATGTCGCGGGCGTGAGCTGATTTTCATTCCTGGACACAACACACCTCCATGTCAGTGCAGTGAAATCTTAATCGTTTGTTGAGCCAGCATTCGAATTCCGTTGAGTCGTGCTCAGCGAAAGAGAGAGTGCGTGGAGACAGACGTCAGAACAGATTTCAGACAAACTTAAAATTGGTCATGTTCAGAATTTTTCTTTTTCACCAACATGAGTGTCAACTTAACAAGAAGACAGGTACACTGTAGTACCGGTCCGTGTGACAAACATGTTCGGATATTTTCCTTTTTACTGCTGTGCTCTGGGTTTTCCAGAGCAGTAGAGACGGTGCAGCCATGAGTCTTGTGGAGTCAACTGCAGCATTCTACCAAAGGTGCGACGAGATCACATCAGATGGATCTCTTCGTGTTGCCCTCGATGCACAGGAGATCAAAAACCACAGTGCAATGGCTTTCACCATGGGCACACCCCAGATGCCCCCTTCGGATGAGCAGTTCAACTTGCTGGCTCAGAGAGTGTTTGGGGCGAACCCGACAGTGGGCCAAATGTCGGCCATCAGGCGCATCCACTTTGAAAGCACAACGTTGGTAGTCTCCACAATAAAGGAGAAGGTGACCAGCGATGGAGCTGAGAAAGGTGATGCGACCAAGCGCATACCGCTTGCAGAAAAGAAGCAACGTAGGGAGGACCAACTTGCAAGGCTGAGTGGTGTCACCATGACAGGTGAATTAGACCCTAGCCACATGCTTCTGGACTTGGCAAATCAGATCCACGAAAGTGGAGTGATTGTGTGGCTCGCACCTTCGAAGTGCAGCAAAAGGGATGACGAGGTGCAGATGTCTTTGAAAGACAGCAAGTCATCAGTCCAGGTTGAGAATTCCCAGCTGAAAGTTGGGCCAAGCATTGCCACACCAGAGGCTCACTGGGACACCGAGCTCAAGTTTCAATGGTGCATGATGCGTCGTGGATTGGCCCTCGATCAGTGCAGAGTACTTAGCTGGCATGTCCATCAGCACTGGCTGAACTACATGTTAAACCTCTTGGGGCGCCCAGTGAACCCAGGCTTTCAGGGCATCAAGATTGACCAGTTGGTACGTGCAGACCGCGAGATGTGGACGCTGTTAGCACAGGAAGTTACGGGCAGCCTGAAAATGCAGGGCACTGTCATCCCTTTGGATGGCCATGTCACAAGGTTGTCAACAGATCCTAGGGTGACGATGCTGTTGCTGCCATTACCATCAAGCCAACGTGTCACAGATGCTGGAGATAAACCAAAGCCTGCAGTGAAGCCAGCACCGCGACCAACTCCAAAGAACAACAGTGGAAAGCGAAAGACCAGAGCTGAAAGGAGTTGTCCAGAAGAGCTTCGAAACTACACCACCAAGGTGGCTGCAGGTCAAATTTGTTGGAACTACAATTTGAAGGATGGCTGCCAACTTAGCACCAGTGGGAAACCTCCGAAGTGTACCCGTGGCCTGCACATGTGCGCCTGCTGTCACAAGGTTGGGCACTCAGCAGTGGTGTGCAGAGAGGCCAAAAAGGGTTGACAGATCAGCCCCACTGAGCCTCCAAAGAAATGTCGAAAGGATACTTTGGAAGACTCAGGTGGGGAAAAGGAGGAACACGAGGCCGCATTTTGCGCAGAAGCCTTACAGGAAGCCTTCGTCTCCGAAAGCGAGACGGACATAGAGATGGATGAGACACCAAAAGGTGACAATCCGACTGTTTTCACTGGTGCTTCCGAGGAGTTGGACAAAGGTCACACTCGGGAGCCGCCACCTCGAATTCGAAATTTCAATGGGATGTCTTTGGAAGATTTGTTTGTAATAGAAATATGTGCGGGATCTGCCAGGCTATCCAAAGCAGCTCACCAATGCGGGTTCCGCACCATGGCTGTTGACCATTCCTCTGCAAGGACTTGTGGCTTTCCTATCTGTGTTTTTGATCTTACCGATGCCGACGACCTTGCCCATCTCTTACAATGTATAGAAGAGTCTGCAGACAGTATATTAGCCATTTGGATTGCACCTTCATGTGGCACGTGTAGCAGGGCAAGGGAGAAACGCCTGAAGGAATTGGAAAAGGCGGGCATCAAAACACCGATGCCACTGCGGTCAAAGGAAAAGCCAGATCAGCTGGATGGCCTTTCAGGTGTAGATAAGATTAAAGTGGAGAAAGCCAACATGCTGTATGATGCGGTTTACACCCTGGCATCGCTGGCGTGTGCATTACACATCTTTGTGAGCATTGAGAACCCCACCAACTCTCACTACTGGAATACCGGACCAATGGAGAAGCTGCGCAATGAGCAAGCACATCACTATGTTACTTTCCACAACTGCGCTCATGGGGGCGATCGAGACAAATCAACTTCCTTGTGGGTCAATGACACCTGGTTGGATTCATTGGCAATTTTGTGTGACCGGCAACATGCACACAAGCCTTGGACGACAAAGGCTCACAATGGAAATACACGATTTGCTACGGCAGAAGAAGCCGCATATCCAGCGTTGCTGTGTGAGCGCATTGTGCATTGCCTACGTGACAAGGCAATCGAGTTTGGTGCTTCTTCTCCAGACACGATAGCGGAGCAAGCCGCAACCTCAGATGCGACAAAATTGTCCAGATTGGTCCTGGGAGCATTGCCACGTGGCCACAAGGTCAAACCTCTGGTAGCTGAATACGGCACATATGTTTTGGTCTTTACAGACCCACAACGCCCATCTGACTTGGACAAGTACATCAACACCCTTCCAAAGGGAGCAAAAGTGGTTGCACGACACGTGATTACATGGGGGGAGTTTCAGTCGATGCATTCTGACAGTGACACTGCAGTCGTTTTACAGGTTACAACCAATGCAGCAGTAGAAAAGGTCAGTGTGGGAGTCCCCAGCGACCCAGACACTTTTATAGAAAGAGCCATAGCTGCAGGGCATCCCCGAAGCCTTGATCAATTTGTGGACCCGCAAATTGAGTCCATGATAAAAGAGAACTTTGTGGGAGAACCTGCAACACTTGCTGCGAAACGTGTGACCTTTTTCAAGAAATACTTGCGTAGGGCGAAGGAACTGAAAGGTGAGGAAGAAAAACTGCGTGCTTCCATGCCACCGCATGTTTTGGCTTTGGTCGGCAACAAGAGGCTGGCTCTGTGGAAAGAAATTCTCAACGACTTGGACTATCCTGACAAGACGCTCATCGATGACATTGCGAGTGGTTTCAAGCTCAACGGTTGGATGCCTAGGTCCCATGTTTTCAAGCCGCGCGCCAAGAGGCCAGCCATGTCAATGGAGACCATAAAGACCCTCTCCAAAGCCTTGAATGCCACAACCTACAGGAACATGAGTGTCAGGCAAGAGCCTGACATTGAAGCTGCAGCTTGGGAGGAAACTGAGGAGGAGGTGCGGAAAGGTTGGGTTTGGTTTGACAACGAGGGGGATTCCTCCGATCTGAAGTTCATTGGAAAACGCTTTGGTATACGACAATCGAACTAGGTGCGGGTCATAGACGACTGCTCATGCTGCAGTCTTAACTGGACGGTGGGCTTGCACGACAGCAGGGCCTCAGGGCGGACAGGACAACGAGAAGGAGAGCAACTCAGAAAACAACAGACCCAGCACCAGACGAAGAGACAAACAAAAAACAGAAACGACAGGGGAGGAGCGCCCAGAACACACTTGGCAGGTAGCCGTGTCGAGGCGGGGTGAAAATCACTTACGTCAGTGTAGTTCCAGCTCCAATAGCGTGTATATAGTTGTTGCAGTTGGATGTCTTGCATGTGCAATACGCACAAATCGAGAAGTATATGTTCAGACGCTTTTTGCATCAAAGAAAAAATTCAGTTTTACACAAAGGAACCTTTCCACACAGGAGTCTTTACGAACATTTTTCCACACGAGAAATTACACAGGGGAGTATTAAAGACGAATTTTGGTTTGGGGCAAACAAAATTTGCATTTCACCACCAGTTGTGCGTCCGACGCGCACAAAGTGCAGAGAGGGTCGCGTTTCGATCCATGGTTTTTGCTGCCGCCTAAAGAGAGAATTTAGAACAACTTGAGAAATAAAAGTTTTGTAGAAATTAAATTGCATTTAGATCACGTAGAACTTAACTCCTGTGTCACCACCTTTTGTGTCCGAATTCCTGTGTAAAATGACATTTCGATGATGTAAGTGATGTAGATGAAATTGATTGAAATTGACGTAGATGATGTACATACATGTAGATCATCTATGTGAAGTAAATGATGTTGATGTAGATGTAGGTCGGTGATGTAATGAAATTGAATGAAATGTAAATAAAAATGTAGATTATATATATACTGTACAAATATGTATATAAATGTGAAGTAAAAAACGTTGATGTAGATGATGTAGGTGATGTGAAGTATTTTAGGACATGTTATGTAAATGAATTTGGCAGCAGTTCTTTGGGAAAAACTTTTCGAAGGAATTTTGGGGAAAAAACATTTAAGTGTTGCCCACGAATACTTTTTGCTCTGTTTTTTTTGTTGGCGTATTTTTTTTCAAGTGTTGCATGTGGTGTGGGTGATCCCATTGTTGGGAACGTGGAGATCTATGTTTTAAAATTCATGGTTGCGTTTCCTGTAGGGTTCCACGTGGGAACTTGTCATTTGTTTGAAATTGTTGGGATTGGTTGAAATTTTGTGATTGTCAGCACGGCTTGACCGGAATATGTCAACATCCTGAAATTGCATCCTTGCCATGAATGCAATGTTTTCAGACATTTTCAATATTGAATATTGAACAAGATAAATTTGTGTTTTCGTGGCCATGTGCATGCAAACGTTTCAGTCATGGTAGGCACATGGCAGAACTTGGCAGTATACCAGCATGTTTGCAACAACGATGTTTGCAATGGGTGAACAACATAACATGAAAAAAAAAAAAGAAATCACCATTCCACAGCCGTGCATGCACGATTTTTGCGACATCCAGGTGCTTGAAAGGAAATTTGGTTCTGTCCCAATGCGCGGTGGCCATGGAGTTGCTATCATATCAACAAATTTGTGGTCAAATTGCTGAACAAATTGTTTTGGTCACTTCGTTTTGCATATTATTTCAATGCACAGGTTTATTAAAAAAACATTTGGTATATGTATATATGATTACATATGTACATGTCATGATAAGCAAAAACATTGGTATTGGAAACAGTAAATGATTATTTCGGTCGGTTAGAAATTCCATCCCATGCATGCCGTGCAATGTGTCATGTCCAGAAAATTTTGGCCAAGTGTGTTGCGTGTCTCTCAGACATTGCAATTTGGACCGGTGTTTCTGTTCGTTGCATGTCGCTTCACAAGTTGGTGCCTCTTCAAATGTCCGGCACATTCGAGAAAATACATGTGTGCAATGCTTCCGGTTTGTGGCCATAGCCTCTCAAAGAGGAAATCTTTAGCGTGGCTGGTTTGAGCCATGTCGTGTAGCAGGAACCATAGTTGAGGTGCAGCGTGATATTTGATTGTGCGATTGCTGTTTGGTTTTGCAACAAATTTGAGTCCTGAGTCCTGGATTCATTGAAAACGCATTTGCTTGTGGGAGGGAGCAGCTTGTGCTTGTGGTGCCCGATGGCGGGCGCAACGAGCCTGACTGACTTCAAACAGTGGGAAACACAGAATGTACAGCAGGACATGTCACCTGTCATTTTCGTGATTTTTGATGACAAACCATTTGGCGTCTTGATTCTGTGCAAAGGCTTGCTCTACTGGGTGAAGGAGCATATTCGGCAGTCTATAAGGCAGCATCAAAAGCATGCAACGACGCAACGATCATTTTTTGTTTTGGAAAATGTTTGAAGTCTCATTTGTTCTTCAAAAGCACCGCAGGTCCTTCGACTCGCAGACAATGAAATCTATGCGTTAAAGAAGGCTGGCTTGAATTTCCCCCTGAAAAACATAAAATAAACTTTGCGTTTTGTGTTTTGGCAAATGCACGCGAATTGAACATAGTGAAATCATGTGGGAGTTCGGGATGTTTTTCTTGCTTCAGGCACCTTCGGGCCGGTGATAGAGTGGTGGGATGGAAACATAGCACATTGCAGCACCAAAACACAACCGAAACAAAACCTTCATTTGCAACATGTACGTTATGTAAGTGATAACTTGTGACCAGATTTTTTTTGGTGCAGGTGAAACTGCCGTCTCTTTCCGACAAAGAGAAGCAAAATGCGCTCAATGAGGTGCTTGAAACGTCTTGTTCGTGGTAGAATCAACTCAAAGAAGGATCCTGTCGTGGTTTTGACTTAGCAAAGAATCGCCTTTGTTCACGATATTGTCAAGGTGCGGCTTCTTGCTTCTGTGAAACATCCCAACGTTTTCCTCTCAGAGTTTGCAGTTGAAAACACTAGGATGTTTCACAGATGCATGTGAGAGATTGGTTCCAAGGTTGTGGCGTACAAAGAAGCGTTCTGGGATGACAAAACACGATGCCTTTGCATTGTTCAGGTGTGGATTGTGTGGATTGCCTTGCTGTGTTTGTGTGGAAACCTGCATCTTTAATGAATTTGACTTGAACATCTTTTGGTTCCTAACCTCTTGAAAAATGGGTTTGCTTTCATTTGCTCCGGCGACTCTTTGAGCAATACACTTGGCAGAGACGTCCTTGTCAGGAGTGTGCTGACGGAGATCTCCTTCAGCAAATCAACAAGTGTAAGCAGGAACGTGCATATCTTCGCGAGGCACATGTCGCAACATGTGGCAATAACATCACAAATATTTATTGTTTTTTGTTATTTTTCTATATTTTTCTAGGTTCTAGGTTGATCAGATTGATCTTATGATTTGCTCAAGACACAAAGTTCTGGGCAGGCTGACATTTGGCGATATCTCGATGGTATGTGCCAGGGCTTGAAGGCCGCGATGTCACGCCTTGAAACAACACAGTGACAGGTTTTTCGATGTTTTAGCCATTTTTAGCCTTTGCATGGAACTTTTGCATGGAACCTTAGCTGAAACTTTAGCCTTTGGTTTTTGTTATTTTTGTGTGTTTTCGAGGCTCTTCACGATATTCGCGTGCTTCATCGTGACATGAAGTCAGCGAACGTCTTTTTGTACCCTTGGCCGCACTAAGACTGCAACGACTGCAACTTGCGTCCGAAAGTGTTTGACATCCGAGGAGTCATACTCGAGATGGCACCATCGCAAAGCTTGGAGACTTTAATGTGTCCAAGGCAGGAGTCATCGACAATTTCCTCTCCAGACCCCTCAAGGGAGCGGTCTGTTTTTGCACAGAGACTTCTGATTTTTTTAAAGAACTTTGTCTTTGTAGCCTGACAACGTGACATACGGGACACATTGTGCCGCATCATGTTACAACTGAGTTTACAAGTTTACGACTGAGTTTACAATTGAGTTTACAACTGTTACATGAGAAAGACATCTTGCTTGGATTAGAAAAGGCAAGGATTCGTTGGATGCTGGCGTGGCTTACACAGATGTTTTACAGCCTGGAAACTTTGTTTTGTGTGTCATTCTCCTTTGCAGGTGGCCAAGCGAGGTCTTTGCATGACGCAAACAGGAACACCCTACTACGCCTCACCAGAGGTTTGGCGGGACATGCCGTATGATGCAGCCGTCCCAGCTTTGCAGTTCGTCAGAAAACCTCAGCACATCAGATAGCATTGGACATTGGACATAGGTCTAAAGAAAGTTGGAGTGTGTTCGAAGCCTGGAGCACCTCTAGACCAAGGCCAAAAGCGACATGTGGTCATTAGGTTGCATCCTCTATGCTTCTTGGCCAAAGCTCAGCCATCCCGCCCCCCGTCATGTCTTTCTCTCCAAGGAGATGGTTGCTCTCCGACCACCTTTTCGAGCGGAAGATATGGAAGGGCTGTACCGTTCCTTTCCTCAATTATATTTATAATTATTCATCAGTGTCTCAAAGTTTGTCAAGGACAAGGGACGCATCATTTTTTCTGCAACTTCTTGCTACACCACATTCATTGCTTGAAACATTTCTGCCCTGCACTTAGAGCATTTGATCTGGTCATACCTACATCGCTCTTCCTGCTGCTTTGAGGCAAAGTCGTTCGTGGGCAATACCCACGAATTCCTGCCCACTACAGTTTCTGTGCCGCACTACGGTTGATTAGAGTTTAACACAGTGGCTGCGTATTTCTTGGATTGACAGAAGGTTTTGAGATGTTTTGAGAAGGCACAATCTTCAGCCTTGAGGTCAAGACCTTGCAGATGTAATTGCTGCGCTACTGCAGGCGATTTTGATTCCAGGGTCAGCAAGGGTCAGTCGAAAGCACGTAAGACTCAGTGGAGCTTTCATTACTCAATGCTTTCAGATGCTTTCAGATGCTTTCAGATGCTTTCAGATGCTTTCAGATTCTCCATGTCTTTTCAATGCTCAAAATATCTCAAAATGCTCAAGGTTCATCCCCGCAATCGCCACACGCCTACTTTCCTGCGTCCTGTGTACTGTGCATTCGAAGTGTGAAGCTGAGAAGCTGGCTGAGCTGAGGCCCAGCCGTAGATCAGCTGTACCAAATGCCCCAGATGGCCAGACACTGTGGTGGACTTCCACGAGAGGACTGAAATTTGCAGAGCCATTGGAAGTATTTCAAGGTGTTCAGAACGTTCTCAGAATGTTCAGAGTCTGCACGTCTTGTGTGTGGAGGAGAAATTCACCTCAGACCTGCTCTCAACCATCAAGCTTCCAAAGAATGCGATTGAGAAGAGCCCAGTGACAGTGTTAGTTGATGCGTAGAAATGCCAGACAGAGTCATTCTTGGACCGCACTGCCCAATCTGCAGATCTTGAGTCCCACTGAAATGTTTGGAAGCGGTTACTGATGGTTACTTTGCACTGCGCAGCTTGATTGGGAGCCAAGGATTTAAGTGGCTGCTTGCCAAAGCCCCGCTATCAAGTGGATTTGCGGGACCATTTTGACAGCAGCATAGTTGAGTGGTCAAGCAAGGTTGGACAGCACACATACATTCAAAGAAGGATTATATAGGTGTAACTTACGTACAATAATGATAGCAAACATAAATAAATAAAAAAATAAATAAATAAGTAAATAAATAAATAAATGAATCATGAATAAATGAATAAACGAACTTACACATACATATACGTATACATATACGTACACGTACATATACATATGTGTATGTCATGAATCAATTAATTGATGAATCATTGACCAAAGGAATGAATGGATGAATGAATGAAGGTATGCACGCATGTCTATAATAGACAGATTGCCATTTGCCGGTTCCATTCCCTAATGGCTTGTGGCAGGACGCTCTTTTGCCAGAAGAGTCTGAACGCTTTGAAGACAGCCCTGAACGACAAGTGCCACGACGCATGCCCTCAAGTGAGCAGGGACAAGGTGTGCTTTCAAGCAGATGCAGTGATTCAATGCAGTGATTCAATGCAATGATTGATATATTGGGCAAAATTTGAAAGTGCTTTAATCAAAAACTGACAAGACTGTGCAGTGGTGCTGCAGGTCTCCCTCCGCTGCCGAACAGGGGCACGAGAGTCAGCGGCAGTTCTGGTGCTGGATTGCGTGCCGAGGCTTGTGAGGCGGCAGTGTCCTTGTGCTTGGGATGGCTTAACCCCGAACCCTGGTCAGGAAGCTGGTGACAGTCTGGATGCATACTTACAGCGCCCAAACTGCATTTAGATTGAAATCAGGGCACCATGCACGACTGCATGACCGTACATACTCCACCGTTGTTGCAACATGCTGCAGCTACCTGGCCATCATCGTAGGATCATATAAGTACGGTTGCTGTACCATTGCTGAGATCTATTGCCTGATTTTGGAGTGAATTGAGGCAGCGCATTGACGGCCGTGATGACGCAAGTCGAGCTCCACGGCGTCCGCAGGAAGGGAGACAATTGGATGCCAGAAACTGCAGATTTGCACAAAGTATCACAAAGCATTTTAAGTTGCTCATTCTTCTTGATCATTCTGAATCATTCTTAATGATGCTTTCTGATTCTTTATCCATTTCCATACTTTTCTTATTCTTTTCTTTGTGGCATTTTCTGTTGTGAAAGGAGATTGCTCCCTCTCGTCCTGAGAGTGGCAGCGTCGCTCCGAGTGCCTATCAGGCCCGGCTGATCGAAAGATTGACAAGCTTGGTCATGAGTCATGACGTCATGACGTCATGACCGGTGACTTGCTGACCACCTAAAAGACCTAAACCTAAAAGGTTTGAATGTGAAAACAAAGATCCAGAGCCAACTTGGGAAGGCAAGTGCGGTTCCAAGCCGGCAACCGCGGCTACCTGCAGTAGGAGAATCTCGAGGACATCTCGCTTTGTAATGTTGTGAAGCGTTCAAACAGGTCCATGAATTCGGGAATGTTCGGCAAAGAAATGGAGGATTCAAACCTCGCTTTCAGCTAAAAGTTCAACATTCAGCCCGACATTCAGAGCGCTCTCTCTCTCTCTCTTAACTGTGCTAACTCTACTCTTTCAGGAGCATCGTTGAATCCACACTACAATGCTCCAGGGCAAAGGCAACGGACTGAGTCCAGATTGGATTTTGAGGGTTTGAAGAAAAGACTTCAGCAAAAAAAGAGATGATTCTGACCTTTGCGAATTAGACCATGAAGACTCCATGAAGACTTGTCTTTTTCAATGAAGGGATCCTTGTGATTGCTTCCATTGCTTCGAGATGCGGAGGCAACGTGAAGCAAGGAGGCCAATGTCCATTTACTCGAGGCAGTGCTGGCCTCAGAGTAACACCGAAGGCTTTGAAGTTTGCCTTGATAACATTATCCCCTGAGAGTAACCAAAAATAACCAAAACTTACCTATAAACTATAAGATACTATAAAATAAAACATTATAAAACCTTTTTCATTTATGCATTGAATAGACTTTTCCTTCGGCATGGTACTACTCTCTTATGCGATGCGCGGGGTCAGGACATGTTGGGTCTGAACAAGCACAGGTTATCGCCGGTTCGTAGAGCTGTGACGAAACTACAGTGAACTTCAACTGACTTCAACGAGGAGGTTTTGTAATTTGACATATTTGCTTTAGGAGAATCACAATTTGACGTTGTTCGATGGTTTCCCCCAGGCAGTATGATTCATCGCAGCCTCCAGGGCCTTCTGGGTGTGGAGCTTGAAGTCCGTGTGAAGTGTTGAGCTGGAGCCAGATTGTGAGGCTAAAAGGTTTGTGAACCCTGCGATTCTTTATATTTCTTTATTTCATACAAGCACTTCGACTGTTCGACTGCACAATTTATACAGAAATCCAAAGACTACAGTAGCTACACCACACTAAAGTTACTAAAGTCAACCAGAGGTTCTGTGCGTTGTGCCACAGCGAGATGTCCTTCCAAGGGCTCGTCCGGACAGAGACGACAGACCTCCAAAGGAATCAGGCAATGCTTCTCTGAAATGGCATCCTTAGCAGTCCTTAGCAGTCCTTAGCCCTGGCGATCCGCATCCAGAGTAAACTAGGATCTAGCAGAGGATTGTGGCTCATGGTGAGATTGCCTGCTGCTTTCGGCATTTGAGTGTCACCTCGAGCGCCCCGTTTTGTCTTTGCTTTTTCAAAGGTTCAAACACGTTCAAACCATTCAAACTGTTCAAAACTGTTCAAACTGTTCGAACAGTCCAAAAGTGCGCTTCAGCGCTGGCTTTTGTTTTGAAGGTGCCAAGAAGCGCTCCCTCATTCCGAGGTCGGGAACCAAGTTGGGCATTGGATTGCCAGGTCCAGTTTTCTTTAAACTCCCCTGTCATTCCACTTCGTATGACAAGATATGACGAGATATGACAAGATATGACAAGCTGCATAAAGTCTTCGTAACGTCTTGGAAAAGTCGTGCCAAGGCTTTTCTAGTCCATGGCGGCTTGTAGCCGACGAGCATTCTGTGCATGCCCTGTTTTCACCTCGCGTTTCATGCGCCTTGGCACTGCCTTGGCACTGGCGAACCAATGAGATCAAATTGAGATCAAATTGAGATCAGAGATCAAATACGGATTGTGTACAGATTGGCGCGTGGAGTGTGCTCTCCTGCACCTGACCATCAGGGATTTGTATGTGGAATAGTCGAATAGTCCTTGACTTACGCAACACTCCAAAGGAGAGAGGCGGCATCTAACAAAATGATTCAAAATGATTTTGCTGATTTGCCATATTTTGCCATATTTTGCCATATTTTGCCATTCTTGCTGTCTTATGCTGTCTTTGCCATTTGTGTTTTCAGCACTCATTCAGACCTGAGGGGCCTGATTGGAGCAAAAGTCAGCAAAAACCTGGTCTCTTTCAGATTTTATCCCGTTAGACACCGTTAGACTGTTAGAATTGTTAGACTCCAGACATTCTTTGGAATATTTTGGAATGCTCTTGTCTTCCTTTGCTCTGACACTACAATCTCCAAAGATTGGACATTGGAAAAGTTCACCTTTGTGAGTGTGTTGAAGTATAATTGCATATAACAAGCAACGGCAATGCTCAAGTTTGAGGGCTTTTTTCTGGAGAATGACTTGGAGTATTCGTGAAGACACCAGATTCTGGCATAGTTCCGTCTTCTCAAGCCAGATATACAGCCCTTCGGAGTGACAGCTCTGACAGCTCTGACAGCTCTGACAGCTCTGACAGCTCTGACAGCTCTGACAGCTCTGACTTCAATTTTTACGCCGATATCATTCTGCTACCATCTGAGAATCTGCTACCTGGTTTGTTTCTGTTGGAGTGGTGTAGCATTCTTGCAATGAAGCTAGCCAGAATTCTACTTCAGATGCAACCTGTGAACTTTGTTCTTTGCTCAAGGGGAGCGCTCAAAGTGCAGCTTCCTTCCTGTTTTGAACGAATACAGCTTACCCTGTCTTCTAAAGCCAAAGCCTTTTTTGATATATGATATATATATATATACATACACATACATATTAGATCTAGATACTAGATGTATATATGCACACTTGGAACCTATATTCAAGAGACAACTTTGTTTGAGCTGAAACAAAACAGTATGTGCGCAGAAGGATATATCCGGCCACCAGAACCAAAGCAGACTCTGTGCAAAGCTGCATGTCTGGTGCGTCCTTTAGGCTTCATTCATCGCCATGAGTTCCAAGCGGTCAAAGAGGAGAAAGGAAGCGAAGAACAAAGAGGCAACGATGTCAACTAGATTCAACAAGCGACTGAAAGCGACTGACAGTGGCAAGTTTTCACAAACGACTTCAGTGGCTGTTGCAATTGAGTTCAATTGAGCTATTGACATGCTGGTACTGAGGTAAAAAAGGATTTGACGCCGCAGTTCATCAATTGTGATCTGGCAGACAACAAGTACGCTGGGATCATCCGAGAGGAACCTTGCCGTGGATTGTTGATTTTGAAGAAGTTGGCAGCGGTGACCCGTGACAGCCTCTGACAGCCGTGACATACATTGAATTTGTTTGTCCAGGACCTCCTCGGGTCACAGTTTCTGGAGGGAACCGCCTCCACATACACTTGGTCTGTAACCCGGTGCATTTGACAGAACGAAATCTGGGAAATATCCTGAACTAGCTGCAACTAGCTTCCTGTTTGAGACATACGATTTTCCATGTGCTCTTTTTCATCTCCCTTGTGTTGATTTGATGGTGCTAAGGTCATCTGGAACCAAATACGAAGGGCCTGATGCTTCAGTCCTTGTTTGCTCTGCCACAGCCTGGTTCTGTTTTTTTAACCAAGGCCTTTTGTGGCGAGTCAGATCGAAGGTCGTGGAACGTGCGCTGGGCAAAACTTTTGGTCAAGCCTTGGGACGGTTTGATCCGAATCCGAATCCATCCGAATCATGGAATCCTGAAACGAATCCTGAAACGAATCCTGAAACGTGCCAAGTATGCCAGGTTTGTTTGGAATGACGGATCAAAGTACGAGGCTCTTGGAGTCGACTGCCAGCGCATTGTGGTTCCATGTGGTTCAGAAAGATCTACAGAGATCTAGCAGCATGTCAGGGCGAGCTGCTTGGTGGACGTCGCAATGGCGAAGGGTGCTATCAGTCTCATGACGGTAAGGATCTCAAACTTGCTTCCCTTGATGCTTACCCCTTGTGGCAAAGCCTCGTCTTGAAGCGCCTTAATTCATGATGCATTTGTATACTATGTATATGCCGAGTATACACCGAGTATATGAGTGTATTACGCTGAGTATACCATCGAAGGCAAAACGCGCTATGATGGCCAGTGGCTCCACGGCAAGCGGCATGGGTTTGCGTCCGAGTGTTCTTCCGCGCAGAGAAACAAAACGCAGATGAAGCCAGTGATGAAGCCAGTGATGAAGCCAGTGATGAAGCAGGAATAACGCTAGTGTTAGCGTCTTGAGATGTTTTGATGAGGCAAGGGAAGCTCACATACAGCTCCGATGGCCCTTCCTTCTATGACGGCGGCTGGCAGGCACATACACCCAAAGCTGAGAAATTTATTATGTCGGCCAAATGACAAAGCAGAGCAGAGCTTGTTGTGTTGAGATTTCAGAGGCTGGACAGAAGCATGGCTATGGCAAACAGTCAAAAACTTCAGAGACCTGGGACAAAACAGCAAAGCAGCAACAAGTCTAGTTATCATCATGAATCGTGGTCATCTCTTTTGTATTCGAGGTGCATCCCTTGAGTCATTACACTGACCTCTTACACGGCACTCACTCCTAGGTTGTGGCCGAGTGGAAATTGCTACGAAGGTGAGTGGAAGCCTTCATCTTAGGATTCTTGGGTCTATATGAGTCAATATGCCAATGTCCCTAGGGAGGGACAACAGTTGAACAGTGCCAAGGCTGGGCAAAATGCACGGCTACGGCACCATGATTTGGAAGAACGGGAATAGCATCTTGGCAGAAGTTGCAAGCAGTGTCAACATATCTCCCACTCAGTCGTTTACTGAGGTGCCGAGATCTACACTGGTGAATGGGTAGCTTCTCGTCATAGTGATACAAAACCAACGAGTCCAAATGCAATCTACATCAATCTACTTGAGGACTGTTCAACTATTGCAAATCCGAAAAAGAACAGTGACAAGCTTCGCAAGTAATTATTGCCTACACACTGAGGAGAACTGTCCACACGGTCTCCGGCTGAGCAAATGTTTCGCTTCAGCCACTGACATGGTGAATGAACATGAAATTGTTGCGGTTGTGAGGTGAAGGGACGCATACCTGGCTCACACTTGACCGGCCAGATTCGACGACAGAAGCTTGGATGCATCGAAGTGCATCGCCTGCATTGCTTGGATTTGTGGCCTTGATATGCGTTACATGCCTTGAGGCATTCCTTGAGACATGGATTTTTCGATGCCTCAAGACATGCTCTACTGTCTCTTTTACATTCTTTTACTCCATTCGACCGGTCTGCGAAGGAGAGCTGGCTCAATCAGCCATCACCTCCACCGTCTGCTGGCCAGGCATGCGCAGTGATTTCAGCTCAGCATGGTGCAGCCGCCTGTCATGGTGTAACGAGTAACGAGTGTAACCACTCAGCCTGTCAGGGTGCTCGGAACTCTGGAATGGTGCCTCCACAGGACAACAGTTGTTCAGAGAGCCGCATAGATTGAATATATGTTATATAAATATATATGTTATATGTATATATGTATATATGATATATATATATATGTAATGTTGACATCGTATTAATAAACCCCCCCCAAACATTAAGAGCATCACAATAAAGTTAGGGCCAAACATTCAACTATCGTAAAAATCACCTATGTATTCACGAATGAATTGCCTAATTGAAAACGAATACATAAAGGGAACTTTCCAAAAAAAAAAAAATCACCTATGTAATCACGAATGAATTGCCTAATTGAAAACGAATACTAAAGGGAAAAAACGGAAAAAAACGGGAAAAAAAAGTTGGCGTACTTTATTTAGGGGGGGTTTATTATTTTGAACCGGGAGTTGGCGTACTTTATTTTGGGGGGGTTTACTAATCTGATGTTGACATTATATACATAATATGTATATTATATTAATACCTAATGAATACTGATAATGAGATACAGTAATAGTAGTAATCATAATGGCAATGTATAGACTTGAATAGATCTCGACCGATCAGTTTGTCATGCGGTGTCATCAGCTTGCCCTAAAGGAACTTCGACGCCATGAGGCACAGATGCATGCTACGCAGCAGCCACATGGCGAAAATTTGTGACTCGAGATGCCACGAGTGCTCTTACGACACTTGTCAGAGTGGAAATGTTTTGAAGGATATTGACTGATGTGATTGATGTGACTGATCGAGCTTCTTTAGCTTCAGCTTTTTTCTCTTGGCTCCTACATGATAATAATGATACTTGATTGGCTCATGAACCTGGCGTGTTCAGCAGCCTGCGGCCTTTTGCATGGATTTGCTTTATGTTGTTTTTGGACTCCAACCCAGGCTGAACAACCGCTACACCGGCCAATGGGTTTGGGGCAGTCTCAACCTCAAAGAAAACAGTTGAACAAATTAGTTCATGTGAGATGTTCCTGAAGGAGTGAAACTGTCTCAAACATGGAGAAATGAAAGAGGATGAAAAGTAATGCCGTGTATTATGTGCATTGATGCATCGGTTTAAGAGGAGTAGGGTGGCAGAGATAAGGAACCAGGAGGCTGACAGAACAGCAGACCTCTTTGGAAAGCCGGACATGCGGATGATCCTGGACAATTCCTGTTTCAAACTGAGGACGTCAAGGTGTTGGAACGTTCTACTACGCAAACGGAGCATACTACAGTGGGGACAAGCTGGCTTGTTGAGCTTGTTGCCTATGATATTGACATGCAGTTTTTTCAGCTTGCCTTGGGCGAAGCGTGGTGAAGCCATCGAACTGAGCGCCCCTGAAAGGAATGGAAAAACAATGTCAAAGAGGGACATGGTCGTCACACCTTTGACGATGGAAAAGTCTATGATGGGTTTGCATCTCAGTAGAGTCATAACAGGGTCATATGAGTCATATGTTTTCAAGGCGCTGCAGTGCAGTGCCTTGCTGCTCCAGCTGCTCTGAGGAAATTTGAGGCTGATCGTATGGTGGACTACAGCGTGGTGCCAAGTTGCCAAGCCGCTATCAAGCCGTTCAGACTGGGCTTCCATGGTTTGACTGAGCAACGCCCAGACACAGAGGCAAGCCGGAGCTTTCCAAAGAAGAAAATCCTGTTTGTGGCTCGCAACCCAATGACACAGGCTCGCACAAATCAATCTCAATCAATCTCAGCATAGCTAGACTGAGGCTGCACAGATATTTCCGACCTTGAAGTCATTCTCAGGCAGGATATATGTTCCGTAGCCTGCAAGGAAGACCCGATTGCAAAATCAGATTGGGATGTTCGCAGCCGTTCGCAGCATGTCGATTTGGCCAGCCCGAAGGCCAGCGGACAGGATTGGATTGGCAAAGGCGCCACTTATTGGCCACTTGGACTACGGTAGAGCTGTAAGCGCAGTGTTTGGGATATCCAACTTTTTTGTATCACAATGTATCACAACGTATCACAGCACTCCATCGAGGCTTTGCTGAGCCTGCCAAGATGTTGTGGCTCCCTCAGTGTTTTTCATGCGAGCCTGCAAAGCCTGTGCAGGACTTGAACCAATCACAACAATAGAACAAACAAATTTAACGGCTGTATGCCACTGTATGCGCTTTTCTGAGGAAGGGAATCTTCAATGTACTTTTAAGGCCAGAAGTGAATCAGATGGATTTGTGCGTTTTCATAGAACGCCAGACAATCTGCAGGTATTTGGGAGACTTGCGAGAGGCCTGTAGACTGCCCAAACCATAGGAGAGTAGTTGGCAAAATGACAATGTGGCAAGGCCTATTCTCGGTCGCGAGCAGTCCAACCACTTCTTGGGGAGGACTCCAGTGGTATGTGGTTGCGTTGTATTTTTTGTTCTACACTACAGCAAGGAATAAAGTTTAGAATGCGGAGCATGTCTGCCATGCCTGGCATGCCTGGCATGCCTTGCATGCTAGCAAGGACCCGCACATCATTACTCTCGTCCAATTCTGGAGTTTGGCAAGAGATGCTGGTGTCCTCACGCTTCGAACTTGGCCCAAAAGTTCTTTTCCTTGCCAGGCTTTGGTGCTTGTGTCATCCTACCCAATTCAAGGGCCAACCTTCTCCACAAAGCTTCCTCTACTCTCCCTGCTCTCCCTGCTCTCCCTGCTCTCCCTGCTCTCCCTGCTCCCTACTCTCATTTCCCCTTTCAGCTGTAGATTGCAAGTCTAGTGGCCTTTCCAAACCGCTCAGGCCAAACAGTTCCATAGCCCGGTTTGATCGAGCAGTTTTCTCCGGACCAAGGCAGTGCAAACCGGATTCAAGGGACGGGGGAGAAAGGGATGGAACGAAGATGAAGCTGAATCCATGCTGAATCCAACAACAATGCCATTCATCCGCCTCTGCCGGTGCATGCGTCAGCAGGCACCAGAGCGAGATGGCGCCTCAAGATTCGAAGGTGAATCATAAAACTATCAACGACAGAACCACACCGTGAAACTTTGTGAATCACTCATTTTCAAAGAGTTTCACCCGAGAAGTCTTTGTATTCCGAGTATTCCTTGCTTGTTTTTGCGGTGCCTGTCTTTGCCGACAGGACATTTGTCCCCTCACACCTCGGCGTCAATCGACTCAGCCTGGGAGACCTGGGTCGAAGGACTCCACCATGACTAGGCCACGAGAAAGCGACACTTTGCTGTGCAGCAGCACGCTGCGGCTCGAGATTTGTCGCCAGGCACAGAACTTCCAGCACTGGAGAGAGCAAATCCATAGAGGCATTGGCTGCAAGTGGCTGCAACTGGCTGCAACTGCAACTGCAAGTGATCTGAAGTGATCTGATGGACTGCAACTGCATCAACTGCAAATAACTGCAAGATATTGAGATGTTGCGGCGTGCAGCGACTCCAGGATGAGATTCCCTTCCATCAGGCTGTGGCAAGATTGGCTGGGCTAGACATTTCTGCTTATGCTCATGCTCAGACACATGCATATGACATATTTTGGCCATCATGTGATCATTGTAGTTTGACAAAAAACATGGAACGGCAGAATTTGGTTTCTTCCTCTAGCAGACTTCTACTGCTCTACCCAAAAGACAACTCGTTTACCTCCAAGAAAAGACAAGAATTGTGGCTCCAATGGCAACGCATTCTTGAGCGATACCAAAGTAACCAGGCCACACAGCCCTGGTTCATTTTCTCAAGACTTTGAAAAGAGAGTTCTCCGCATGTGTTGTTAATGCCAAACAAAATGCGGCGATGCGGCGTGCATGTTGTCCGTTCAGATCTTTTCACAACAGCCTTGCAATTATATACACAATATATATATATATACTATAATATAATATATATATAATATATATATATATATGTGATTGTTTTGATTGCCATCGCCAGGAGGACGACCAAGCAGATCTCGATGCCTGTCTGGAGGCTGGATTTAGTTTCGGCACTGCAGGCTTTGCAAAGCTATGGATTTGCCCATGTGCGCAGTAGCATCATAGCATAGCATCATAGCATCATAGCATCATGGGCTTTCAATGGCTTTCAATGGCTTTCATGGCTTTGAGATATGTGCGTCTTTTCTGAAACTTTGCTTTCCTGTGCTGTGAGGAAATTTGTGTAGCCATCGACTCCCCCGGAGGCCATCCCAAGCCTTGAAATATCATGAAATGTCAATTGTGCTGAACATTGCTTGCTGAATTATGGTTCAAGATGGTTCAAGAATATTCAACTCGCAATCTCATGCAACAAGACTTTGCTGCCGCCTGAAGGAAGCAGCAGCCTCGGCGGGAAGTATTTGAGGAAATGTACGGCAGGCACGAGCGAGACCGAGGGAGCTTGTTTGGGACAAGCTCTGGCAGTTTACATCTGGCAGTTTCCATTCCAAGACGTTGCTGTCCAGATGGAGATTTGGTGCACATCCATGCTCCTGCTCGACCACTGCTGTCGCAACCCGAGAAAGCACCAGAAACTTGCATCACTGCCCAGACTTGTACTCTTTGTATTGTCTTCACACTGCTGACACATCTGAGACTTGACTATGTACCATGTTGAAACGTTGAAACTGCTGAGGTTTCGACATTTCTTGGAGAGCTCCTTGGCTCAGACCTCCTTAAGTTTTACAGTTGATGACATCACGAATCATTCATCATTACCATTTAATAGCATTTACGAAATCTGTTATATATATAATTATATATATACGTATATTATACCATCTGTTACCATTTACGATTCTTCACTGCTCGGCACGAAGTGTTTTAATCGGTCGGAGCCTCGCCTCCGACGCCGGATTTTACTTCGCTTCCAAGGCCTGTTTTACTTCTCGACGCATTCATGGAATATTTTCATAATTCAAAGGGACCAATGGATGTTGTTACATGTTGTTATCAACTAGATCAGAGTGCAGTGAAAGTGTGTGTGCAAGCGAACACGAACGTCATTACCACTCTACCCCACCCCACCCCACCCCACGAGCGCTGTAGCGTGAAAGAGTGTGTGCAATCTAATTACAGCCCACCCTACCCCACCCCAGCCCACCCCCACCCCATCATGTTTAAGTGAGCAGGAATGTTATTAAACATACGACCCCACCTCACCCCATGAACAGCCTGGAGTGAAAGCGGCTGGTGTTGGAAGTGAGCCACTCTGGCTGTCTGAAGCGAGCCGGTGTCTGAAATGAGTCCTTCACCTTTCTAATCTCCCCCGCCTTCAGCAAATGATTTCAACGGTATAATCACACTGCATCTGTTTTGCCAGGATACATGTTTGGAGGCTCTTAGGGGCTGTAAAAGAATTTGTATCATGCAGTTGCCATGACTTTTGAGGTACTTAGACCCCAGAACTATCCGAAAATCGCACCCCCGAGAATCTCTTGCAAATACATGCTTCTGACCAGGAGTCTTTGAGCAGATTTCCTCTCAAGATGCCCCTGCGTGGTCAAGCGGGGAACGGATCTTTTGCCCATTTTAACTGCTTGATGTGTGCTCCTGATGTGCTCCTGGCTGCATGTCGATCTCGTGGGTCACTCCATCGAAGGTGGCGGGATGCTGGCGTGATGGGGTTCTGCTACAGGGTGCTACAGGGTGCTTCTGCTGTGGCAGTGGTCTTAGGCGACACTAAACCTCTAAGCGCTGCTGTTGCCCGTGTTTTGAATGTGTTGGTGCTTGGCCTACCTGGAAGGCCCTTCTAGGAGTGATTATCCGCCGATATATCTTTTTGTCAGCGTATTTGATTTTGGTCAGCGCTTTTGGTTTGTAATTGTACAATTCATTGCCTTGGCCTTGGCTCCAATAAGTTTTGTTGAATCAATATCACTACGTTTGTCTTCTCAGCAGGTGCCGTCTTGATATTGTGGAATCACACCCAGACGAAGCGAACCAAGAGCAATGAATCTTCTTGTTCTGGTTCTGCTTCTGGTTCTTCTTCTTGTTCTTGTCCTTGTTCTTCCTGTTGTTCCTGTTGTTCTTGGTGTTATTGCTTTTCCTGTTGTTGTTATTAAATAAAATGCCCGCCTCGAGGCAGTGATCCCTTGTTCTTGTTATTCTCGTTGCTGTAAGTTGCTGTTGTTGTTCTTCTGTCTTTGCTGCTGCTTTTGCTGGTGCGGTAAGCCTTGTTGCCACCAGTTGTGCTGCATCAAGCATGAATTAAGGCAAAACCGAAACATGCATTTTGCAATCCTTCCATCAAAGGGTCTAATCTGTGGCTGGGGCAAAGTAGTCAATAGTCTATTCAGCTTGGTGGTTGGCGCATCAAGAGATGCGAACGTGGACAAGGCGCACCTGCAACTGACCATAAGACATAGTATTCTTGTTTTTGTTCCGCTGACGCTCGAAGACTCCGAACTGCAAGCACCTACCCTTTTATCTCTGCGTTTCTTTTGTTGCGAACTCCAGAGTGAACCTACACCCTTTCATAGTGGAATGTACTGGTTAATGCCCTCTTAGCCGGATGCTATGGGCAAAGTACTTTGGCGCTTCCTGTGTCCGTTTTCGCTTTTTGCCGTTTTGCCTTTATGTTCATGTTCGGCCAAAAGTGTGTTTGAATGTTTTCAGTTACTTTGTGGGCTGCTTTCAGGTTTCGTTCGAATGGCTCCTATGCGTTTTCCTCATGAACCTGGCCTGGAGCAGCAGGCACATTTGTCAGAGTTCTGCCGTGGCTTGGAATCCTTTGCGCCAGCAGTGTTGGATTTTCGAAATTCTCTATGCTTGACCAAAGCGGCGCGCAGGTTCAACGCCTCTTCAAGGAGCAGGTGAGCCGTGACGAGCAAAATCATGGAACTGTTAGCTTCTGAATGTGTTCGACTGAGGTAATGCCTGCACTGAAGAACGTTGCATCGCACAAGTCTGAAGGAGGAGGTGAGAGATGGTGCTGAGGATGGTGGAGACAATTTTTCCAATCCTTTTCAGGGGCCTTTCCATGTGTGTTTCCATACTTTTGAATCTCAGTGACAGGACTGATCAGCATGCTGGCCAACTTCCGTCGCCCAACAAGCTCTGTCTTCGGTCTGTTTACACAGCCTGAAGTGCGCGAAGTGGTGTACGAGGTTGGACTTCTAGGACGACTCTGTGAAAGTGGTTGGCTGCCGGTTGGCTTATGGCTCTGCTATGCTCTGCTTATGTTGGCTCATTTGACTCTGTCAGAACAGTCTGTGCATGTCTGGAGCTGCCAGTTGGAGCCCGTCATGTGGAACATTTTCGTGGATCTGTCTGGAGATCCATTGGCCAAAGAGGTCCAAATTGCAGTTGCTGAGCTGTGGCAGCTGTGGTAGTTATTTTTAAGAGAGTCTTCGATTGTGCTAATTGATGCTAATTGTATCTAATTGTGCTTATGTTGAATTGTTTTGAAATTCTTTCACTTGAAATGCTTATGAATAACCTTGTGAATCAACTTGATGAATTTGATGAGACCTCGTGTGAACGGGTGTGTTTGTCAGGCTGTGGGTACCATTCCCGGTGGTGGCATTTTTGCTGGTGGTGGCGGCCTTGGAGCAAACCCGTCAAACCAGGCTGGGTGCCGAGATGCCGATCGATCCGATAGATTGAGATATATTGAGATGTTGGACTCGGTGATGTTGGGACTTTGGTTGTGCTCTACTGCTCTAGACTGCTCAGATTTTTCTGGTGCTCGATGTTCCCGGATGTGCTCAGTTTCGGTATGTTCGCATTCACATCTTCTATGTCGAATCAATTCGAACGAAAAGCAGGGGTCCAGTAGATTGGCTTAGACATTCAGTGAGAACCCAATTCAAGCCTCTGTAGCCTTGATTGCGCTGGTTGTATGCTTGCGTAGAGGTGCCACGATTGCGAGGTCCTGAAAAGAGCTCTGGAAGCATGTAGAAGTGTTGTGTTGGCAAAAGATCACCACAAGCTGTGGATGGGAGCATATGCAGCATACATGTTGAATGTATCTTTTGTTTTTCTTTGCTTGTTTGACACTTTTCAGGGAACTCGTACAAGTAGTGGAGTTTCGTGCCACAACGGTAAGATGCAGCTATAGCATAGGCTGCTTTTGCAAAGCTTTTCAAACATGGGCGTGGCTTTTTCAGAGTGTTCAATCTTTGGAAATGCATTTCTGGTTGGTTTTTGACTTTAGCAACTTCAGCATGTTTTTAGCATTTGAAGCATGATCATTCCTAGTACTGAAGGAGTAAGAGTACCTAGCTGTGGTGTTTGAAGCCAGTGCCTTCAAGTTTGCTTCATCAGTGCTCCGTGGGACTAATGATCCTATATTTGTAGTATATATTTGTAATATTTGGTGTCATAGCTTGAAAGTTGGACCTCACTGAAATTCTTCCGTTCTGCGCAAAGGAGACAAAGACAACTTTCTCAGGCAAGTCTTGCACATGATGTACGTGGCTTGTATTCCAGCTTGTGGCTACTTCAAGAGTGCAGAAATTATCAACATGATGTCCCCGCAGCAACTGGCGAGCTGTGTTGAAGTGCAGGAGGATCTTGCTTCTTCGTGCCCTGCAAAAGCTGCTCCTTGCCTGCAATTTGAATTTGATTTCTAGCAATGCAAGAAGTCGATGCAAGAAGTTACTTTTGCTTCAAAATTTGTGAGTGCTTTTGCAACAAACTCACTTTGCTGTCAAGACCCCAGGTTCGCTGTGGTGACTGGGCTGCCCCTTCGAGACAGCTTCACGTCGCTTGATTGAATTGCCTTCCTTGGGACGCCCAGATCCGGCTGATCCGGGCTGCACACAGAAACCCAGGTGGCAGCGCGCCTCAATGTCGGAGTTCGCATTAAGGCAGGTGATGGCAGGTGATGGCAGGTGATGGCAGGTGGTGAAATCGTGAAGTCGCTTTCGATTCGTCTCGTCTCTTGCCTCAAGGACGTACTCAGATTCCTCGAAATGCTGGGCTTTTTGGATGATACTCAGTGCTGGGCCTAGTGCCTTTTCCTCTTTTCATTGGGTGCTTTTGTATTCGTGCTCTTGAAGCTCTTTGAAGCAGCTTGTGTTAGGTTTCCTCGATCTTCTCTCGTTGGTTTTTGACTATTGTACTGAGGATATTGAAGGACCAGAGCAGGCCACTTTGCGAGGTGCACTGTGAGAGACTCTGCAGTTTGTTAAGATGATTTCTAGCTAGGCTGTTTCTGGCTGTCGGGGTAGGTACTTTCAGGAAGTGAAGGCGATCCCGTGAATAATCTGCTGGGATCCTGACTTAGCTGACTTTGATCCAGCACGAACCCAGCTTGCCTATAGCACTTGCCTGTAGCACTTGCCTGTAGCACTTGCCTGTGAGAATCTTTGACTGTCCAATGGCTCTGAGGGCCGGTGGGCAGTGGTTTGTCCCAAGAAGAGCCTGTAGAAGAAGAGATTGTGAGTGAGGCGCATGCAGCATTGTTTATTCATGGATTTCTACCGAATTCTAAGTTTGATGAGTTTGATGTACTAGTTGTAAGTTCTATCAAACTTGCCAAGGCAATGGAGTCACAGTCACTGCTTCCGCGATTCTTGCCACAGGATGATGAGGGTTCTGGTGGTAGCGTTGCGCCCGAAGAGGATGAGGCCACTTCTTCGAAAGGGTTAGATCCTTCTTGTGTCACTCTTCTTTGTGTAACGGTTTGACCATTTTTGACCCCAATGTGCTATGTTCACAAACCCTCCTCAAGCCCTCGTCAAGCCCTCATCAGATCTTGTTGCTGAAAGGATAGGAAGCAGCTGCCTGGTCTCTCGATCAGCTTCATGCCGAAGGGCTCTTTGCTAGGCTGTTGTCACGGCTTTCACAGCTATCACATGTCAAATTCCATTTTTTCCCAATTTTACTCGCTTTATTTCAAAATACATGTCATTGCAGTGCCACAGTGATACAGCTGTCTGCGGGTTTGGCTCTATTTTTCTTTGGCGTCTTTGAGGCGTCCCGCCACCAAACACCAAAGAAGAAAGTAAGCCGAAGAGAAAAGGAGACAAGGTGACGAGATGTGACGATCACGTGACGATGCGACGATCAATTCTTTGCTGTGATATTGGAACCCTAGACTTGTTTGTGCCGCTTCGACCTGCACCCATAGCAGACAGTGCTGGTTGACTTCTTCCTATCCTATATCATATTATCCTACTTTGTTGCACTTGTCACACAGTCATCCCTTGAATATCTTGGCCCAATAGGCTTCATCACCCGTGTTGAGCAGATGACCATAGATGACTTGTTTACTTGACCGTCTCCTGGCCAATCAGCCGTTCTAGACCGTAACTCTGACCCAAAATTTGTGCCATTGAGCAATGCTCACTTGGTGCGCCCTTGTGAATGCGAAGACGGCAATGATTTGTTGCCCATGAAAACCGCGCCCAGCACCTCCAATGCAAGTTCATTCATGGCTTGATGGCATTGTTTCAATTGTTTTGTTGATTTTTGGGTCTCTGTTGCTTTGTGTCTACTCCCTTGTTTCTTCTGAAACCTTCCGTAGTGATGCCAGGATAAGAAGGACAAGAAAGAAGAAAAGGAAGTTCGGACACCAGTCGCGGTCTTACTTGCAAAACCCGGTCAATGTACTGTACTCCAGACAAGCCCAGCAGTGATTTATGACGTTCCTTAGGAATCCGCCTGGATTCCTGCTTCTGTTCATTTTACTGCACAACAAAGGCAGAAGATCTGGCTTGTATCAATCTCACAATTGATGCCATAGACGCTTTGCGAATCATGGCGCAGGCAAGACTTTTGCAACACTTGGCACCACTTGTTAATTGAGTGACCACACACACACACGTACACAAGCTGGTTGGCTGCTTTTCCTCCACATTGACTTTTGTGTGGTGTGAGAGGAAGATAGAGGAAGTGGAGCACAGACTCAAATGACTCAACTTGTCTACATTGCAGACATGGACCCCTTTCGTATCATTTTCGGATATTTTTGGAGAATCTCTTCAAAATCTTCGAATGCCACGAATGCCATATGGGAGATCCAGATGAGAGGTCCTCGCACCATCATCTCTTGAGATGCTACGGTGGCATTCAGGGCTGTTGCCTCAGCTTCCTCACAACTGGCATAGTTTGGTGACTTTCCAAATCTTTCAATACACCTTTCAAATCCTTTCAATACACTCACCAGCTATCACAAACTATATAATCCCTTCCCCCCAATACGAACCCCTCCCTCCCCAAATAATAAACACCTCAGGTAGTTTTTATTATTAGGGGGTATTTATTCTTAGGGAACCCTATTAATAAATTTAAAACCTTAATAATAAAAACTATTTTTTCCAATTTCAAAATCAATGAAATGTCCTTTTATAACGCAATTAAAATGTTGCCAAAAAATGGATTTCGAAGCGGGCCCTAATAATAAATTAAAAGCCCTAATGTAGAAAACAAAAAAAATCGGACGGACCCTAATAATAGACACCCCGGGGTTGACTAGTTTTTATTATTCGGGGGCGAACCCCACAAATGGTAGCTTTATTTTTAAATTGTTTTCTAAAGGGGATCAATGAAAAGTCAAATTGGCCAATCTGAAATTTTCCTAATTTGGAGATGGACCCTAGTTTTTATTATTTGGGGGGTGTTTAGTAATAGGGGGAAGGGATTAATATCTTCCAACATGGGTACATTCCAAAACATTCTGGTGTTGGTGGAACAAGAGGCTTTCGCGCGACATTTCTCGTTTTCTTTCTGTTTTAAGGCAAGATGGGGCAGAGGCGAGATGCAAAGTTTGAGAAACGGTTGCCTGAATAAAACTCAAGTTATTGGAGTCAAACAAAGTAATCAGAAGTTGCGTTTCCAAATGCTGCGAGGTGCATGAGATTGACGAACACGTTTCCATTTTGGAGTGCCTTGTTTCAAAGGATTCCTTTGAAATTGAGGGCAGCATTTGAAGAAGTCCTTGTACTCGTATCAGAATGTTTCCCCTTGCCCAAAGGTTCGTGGAGTCAGAAGTTGTCTTCGCCCCTCAGCCAAACTTATTCCAGTGATTTCTAGTGCTCTAAAGGGAGTTCTTGTGCAGAACAAAGTGTGAAGAAAAGAGCATGCTGCTCAGCTCAACAAGATGCCACTGCACGCATCTTAGGCTGAGTTTTTGCGCTTTTGGGTATGAAACTCAGCGAGTTCGAGCGAGTGCAGAAATACTTAGCAGAAACGAAGCAGCGATGAATAATTTGAAGTCTTGCCTGACCCGAGTTTCTCATGGCGGAGCTTACCACTCGGAGGGACTACAAGCGAGACTCTTAGCATTGTGCTTCTTCCTACAAACTACTCAAGATCATGGAGGCTGACTCTCACCAATTGTACCTCACCGAAAACTGCCAGTTTATGAGGTTCTGTCGCGGTATTTCTCTCACAAGCCGTTTGGATCTCTTCCTGCGCACAGTGCCATGTTTGCACTATGCACTATCTGGATTATCTGGACTCCAATTTCATCTTCTAGTCATTGTGTGAGATTCTAGTCATTCTAGTCTTTGTTTTTCACAATGCTCTCAATGCTGTTTGCCAAGTTTGCTTTAAAATTCAGGTGATCTCTCACTGCCAAATCGGCAATCGATATATGCCGCCGGATACGTCCCCTCCCGCAGTAAGTCCGGATCCTAGCTTCCTGCGGTGTGACTTCTGGAGCTCTAGAGCTGTGATATCGAGGTGAAAAGCCAGAGAAGGCCAAGCCAAGGAACTCTCTCAGACCGGAGACTGTCCGAGCCTCAACAAATCTTAACAAATCTGAACAAATCTCAATAAACTCTGGTGGACAAATGACAAATTCACACAAGACGTGGTGGACAATAGTGGATTTGGTGGACCCAGAGTTTCGATGTCAAGGTGGTTGAAGAAGCACCAGAGATCCCAGGCCTTGCGCTCGTCGAATTTAGTCAAGTTGCTTTTTTTTGAGTCGGCCGCATTCCGCCGGATTCTGCGTTCTGATTCTCCGCCATTTTCATCCACTTCCCAGGCTTGCCAGAGACCAAAGTGGACATAGAGAAGAAGGCTCCATTCTTGGGACTTGCCGTGCTTGGTCTTTCACGCAGAGTTCGGAGAGGTTGGACGCTTCTTTGATCGGTTCAGGTACAACCTGAGCACTGGATGGGATTCGATGGTGATGATACTTATGCGCCTCGAAGGCCCAAACTTTCAGTTTCTTCGGAAAGGGGCGGGAGAAGTGTTGGGAAGTTTCTTGCACTTGCTTCAGACAGTGGAATTGCACTTTGTGATCTTTGTGCACAATCTGTGGATGGAACTCACACCAAATTTGTGAGGTGGCCAGATGGCTACGATGTCCAAGTGGCCGACTGGTGAATTCAGGTTTATCTCACTGTGTCACTTGGGTGTCATACATGATACACCCAACCAACTCTGTATCACCAAAAGAGTGTCACCTGTTCTGAATCAGCTCCTCTACCCAGATGTCACCAGATGAATTTGTTTAGGGACAACAACGCAATCACAAGCAAATTTGGAGGCTCTAGAGATTTGTTTCAACATTCTCAACATTCGGTGCCTCAATACTTACATTCTTGTGTGTGATTCAACTGGTTCAACGGCCTTCAGTTTGAGTGTCAAATTGGTGATGGACATGTAGCAGAATACTGTGTGGAGCTGGGCAGAAAAAAGCACCATCATTTTGGAGCCAGTGTAAGCACCCTAAAGTTCCTGAAGCAATGGAGAACTAAGCTCCAAATCCAAATCCATACAACTCCTTCAAGGGCCATGGCTGGGTAGCAGTTTCTTGTTTTGCATGGGCCCTCACACGACTCATGTGTTGAATCAGCTTAGGGAGATTTTGTTGAAAGGTCTCCCGCGAAGCAGTAGTGGTGATAGTGATGAGAACTAGGTCTGTGTTCCGCAATCGTGGCTCTGTGACAGGCATTTGGCGTCAAGAGCCCCTTGCATGAATTTTATCGCCAGGCACTCTCCAGAAAGGTTTTGTGCTTTCGCATGCCCATGTCTTGGGAGTGACCGTTGCGCTTGGTGGTGAGACATGAGCATGAATCCAGCATGAATCTAGCTGCGAGCATTGCCACTCCACTAATTGCACGACCGAATTTGACACGACCGTCCTGGAAACCGTCCTGGAACGCCAAAGTCTCTGAACTGCTCAGGACCCGCAAACAGCGATTTCTGAGATTTGCGGGAGCTATCTACGGAATCTACGGCGCCCGATCGAAAGCCACACGAGGATGGAAAATATGGAAAGGATCCAAAGGATCCAAAGGATCCAAAGGATCCACAGAAACAATTGGAAATTCAAAACGGCAAAACAACGAAGAAATTCAACGTTTGCTGACACCAATGATACGATCGTCCCGCCTGGAGCGTGCAAAGGAAGTCCTATCTCAGCGAAACCAAGGGACACGACTTGTTTTTTGTTCTTTGTATGAAGCCGACGTCATTGCTTGCCTTCGCACCATGGATTTGTTTGGAATACAGTTTGGTGAAATCATTGGAGAATGGACAGAGACTGGTGATACCTCCGGTGGTGCGAAGTCCTATGTCACTCTTCGCCATTGGCCGGATCTGCGAAGCTGCGTTGGCTGGCTGACAGAGGCAGTTCAAGTCCCTGCGAAGGGGAACACAGAGATACACAGAGTCAGTTTTTGTGAAAGTGGAGCGTGATTTCATACAAAGTACCGTTCAGTTACTGATGTTACTGAGTTGTCAGAATTGTGATGTGTGATGTGAGTGTGTAGAGGCTGGCTACAAGTGCATCCTTCTAGACAACGATGCCAGCATGGAAGTAAAGGCCGGAGAAGAGTTATCGGCGAGGTGTTGTTCCACCAGACGGATGTGCACTGTACGTGATGAGAGCTATGTCTGCTTGTTGTGTGCCCGTGTGGAGGCTGGATTGAAGAATATCATTGGAGGGTGCCCAAGCTTGTTCATCTTGTTACATGTTTGATTAACAGTTTCATTATGTTTCATTTCTAGTTTCTCAATGTTTCTCGCAATTTCTCACACCAAAACTTTGCTGGGTTTGATGATCGCAATGATCTCTTTTCTGCCAAGACGAACGTCGCAAAAGGCATCTTTGGAGTGACCAAGGCAGTGCCGACTCGCCGTATTTCTAGCTGATCAAAGGCAACCCATGCAGGACCAGCAATGCCATCACGATGTAAGTTGAAAGCCATGTCCTTTGATGTCTTTTGACGTCTTTTGATATTTTTTGTATTATTTGTATTATCTTGTCATCTAAAGTTGTGCTCACTTTGTGTCAACTGGTCGTAATGCGTATATCATTACCAGAGGAGCTGCGCAGCCTGTGCGAGTTGAGGGTGAGCCAAGACGGGCCAAGACTTGTATAGACACTTTGAGTTGAGTGTGGTGGGTCTGTTGGCTTCTTTTTCTATGCTTCGATGTTTTTTTTCATTCTTGCTAAGCGTGCTAGGTCCATCTGCCACACCGTGGCTTCAGCAAATCTCTGTCCTTCAGTGTGTCAGTGGCAGCGCTTCTATCCTACCTGAGGCAGCTCTTTGCGCTGGTTCATGGTAAATGAACGAAATCGATAGGATAGAAATGGGCAGAACTCTTAAACTTCGGGAAATATGAAATGATCATAGCGTTGAGGATTGTGGTCCGCTAAGCGTTTTTCGCACTGATACCGATATTGATACACCGAGACTGCGATATATGAGATGGTAGTATGGTAGTGAAATGAGTGAAGAGGTGAGACAGAAGCACAGAGGTGACTTCCGGTGACTTCCGGTGACTTCCGGTGACTTTGATGGATTTCTGATGATCTGATGATCTTTGATGGCAGGTCAACCGGCTTCCTCTCTGGAGATCCACTGGATGAAGGCCAGAAGCATCTGTAGGGAGCTTGGAGTTCTCAAGGCACGACAGAATTCCAAGCAGAACATTTGACGAATTCTGGAAGTGCAACATCAAACATCAAAAAGTATAATCAAAAATAATCAAAAAGTAGAATCAAAAATAATCAAAGTGAATTCAAAATGAATCAAATGATTTGATGTAATCAATGTAATCAATGTAATCATTTTGAATGATTCTGAGGCTTTGGACACATTGGCTCTTGGAGCTTCGAGGTCAAAGAATGAGCCGAAAGCTGCTGAAAGAAAAAGGTCAGTCGCACTGTTTGACGTGTGAGCCGTGTGAGCCGTGTGAGCCAATCTGTATGCACTGTATGCTGCGCCAAGAGTTGAGGAGCCATGAGCCAAGCAGTTATATAACGTTATATAACTAAGAAATACTAAGAAGTTAATTAGGTTAAGATAGATTAAGTAAAGTTAAGTAAAGTTAAGTATCAAGATGTATCGAGTATAGTACTATAACTTAATTTAAGTAAGCAGTTCGTAATTTTAACAGAGCGCAGTTGGCCAAGTCTGTCGCCAGGTCTTTCATGGCCTGAAGCGTTGAAGTGACGAGCCAGCGAGAAACAAGTGCCAGTAGTGGCAGTGCGCAAGCCGCGATGCACAGATTTAAGGAATGACTAGGAATGGCCGCCTGGCCCAAGCCCCGGTGATTGATGCTGTTGATGCTTTTGTGAGTTCTATGGGATGGTACGAGCTGGTGTAGATGATCAGAATGATCAGATGATTATCCACCATGACAACCCCAATCAACCAAGCAGAAGATGATGACAGAATGTTGTGGGACTGCTAATTTAATTTTGCCTCCTGCGGATGTGAGTTACATGATTCAAGGATGCAATCTCTGGCCTCTAAAGATTTCGGCTCTGATGCGCTAATCCGGCGCTATTTTAGCTCAGCTCAATGTTTCACTACGACGCTGACAAATCAGGTGGATGACAATCGAATGACAGGATCGCTACTTGCACTTGGCGTGCTCAACACCACCTCGTCAGGCGAGCGCGGTCACCAAATTGAGACGTCCAGAATTCATTTCCCAAAGCCTCGTGCAGGTGAAACGCTATAAAACGCCATGAAACGCTATGAAACGCTTTAAACTTTAAACTAAGGATAACTTGATCAGACTACACAGACTCTTCAAATATCTTCAAACCATTTCGAAGCCCAAGAGCCGGCTATTTTTAGTCTTTCGACTGGCCAGGTTGCTGCTGTGGAGCCTGGAAGCTTAGCTGACATTCGCCGAATGGAAGCCTTCGTCGCCTTAGTCGCCTCAATCCTTTCAAACAAACGTTAACACTTCATACACTAATCCTGCAAGCAAAGTTCTTCAATTTGACATGACAGACCAAAGAGATCACACTCAAACCGGTTCAGCAATTGGAGGCCTGGACTGAACAATTCTGGTCCGACAAGAGTGAGAGGCAACTCTTCTTCAGAGTGACGGCCTCATAGAATCTGAATGAGCGAGGTCTGAAGAGTCGTCGAACAGTCGCCCAACAGAGGTCTGTATCATTCTGTGTCAAATCTTTTATCATTTTGTAAATTCTTTTATCTTTTATCATTCTGTCTTCTTTTTTTTCGTTTTTCGTGGTCTGTGAATTGTGCGTCAAATCCTGTGCCCGAGCTGAGGAGTTGAGGATCGAGCTGCTTGATCGATCTCCAGATGACGAAGACGCCAGGCCCACGGTCTTTCGTCTCCAAGGATAAGGGCAGCCTCGAGCTTTGCATCCATATATTAGATGGTCACAGTATGAAACAGTCGAAACAGAACAACAGAGGTTGAACGGTTTAACATAGGTTTGCTGATATTTGTTTCATTTTGCAATGTTTTGCGTGTATCACTTCACAGAAAGGCTAGGTTCATGCTTCCCTTGGAGGGGCAGACTTTAACTTTTCATGCTTTGCCATGCTCAGTCCCTCGTGAACTCAACAAGCTTGAATGCTTCCACATGTGCGCACCATGTTCATCAGTTTTCTACATGAACAGCATTGAACAGCACTAAACATTGGTGCTTGTTACACTTGTTCCGTTTCACACTTCGGGACGGAGGCTCCAACAACTGGCTTTCAGACAGAGGCTGGGTAAAGTCTCTTTGGGCGAGACTATACCTATCTATACCTGGTCTATTCTCTGAACTCTCTGAACATGATGGACATTGATGGACATTGGACATTTTGAGAATTCTTTAGACACCTAAAAACACTTTAAGCATGTTCGGCAGTTTAGACATTTTAGACATCTTTGCTTTTACTTCGTTTACTTGGTGGTCTGGTTGACGTGGACCCACCCGAGCCTTTCAGGCTTGAGAATGCAAAGTGTCCATATGGAACAACGTTGTGCTTTGGCTTAAAATTGGAGAAGAATAACAACGTTGACGCAGATTTCTGGGACAGCTCTCCTGCCGTTGGCTGTCCCGTTGGCTTTTCCGGCCAGGCCCATGGATGTCACCTGGCCAATGGTTCCAGAGGACATTGCCATGATGGTCGAACCAATCACGTTCCTGAAGATTTTGGCTGTTGCCTGACCCCCAGAGCATCCCAGAGCTGTCAATGACCTGTCCAGTTCTATTAGAAAGCAGCTATTGTAACATCTGGCATCTCTCCTTCCTGAAATTCAATTACTGTCAAGAAATGTCAAGTATTACAATTGAACAATTGGAACCTTCAAGATCCAACTATGTTCGCAGCTGAATCACAAGCACTGAGATGGTTCTGGCTTCTTCAGCAAATAATCCTGTTGGCTGAGATCTACGGCTACCTACCTCTTCTTCCCGTTCTGGGCCTACACAACTGTGGAAAGTAGAAGAAACGTCATTCAATCTATATATTTTAATCTGCAAGTGCAAATTGCACATTTGCTGACATGTTTGATGATGAAATTGGACATGCTTCACAACTTCACAAAGAATCCGCAAGAATCTGCAAGACTTGGACTCAAGGAAAGTTGGAAAATTGTAGCATGCTGTGGCCATGGTGGCCATGGCCATGGTTCCTCGAGTCGCAGATTCGGTTGCGCGACTCCGGAGCTTTCTCCGCTTGCATTTGCTGCTGATCTTTCTCTGCAGCACACTGTGCATGGTGTCGATCCAGACGCGTCATACACTGGGTACATCAGATGTCTCTGGATCTAAGCGGCTTGCGCTGCTGCCAAGGGCTGCCAAGAAGGGGTTTCTTGCAGAATGGGGGGCTGTGGAGTCACTGATCCACTGTCAATACCTATGAGAGGCTGGCAAGCGCCATGGGTCTGTTGCATAGATATGACAAAGGCAATCCGAATCCGGATACTTGCAGAAAACTGGTTGAACAAAAGTTTGCAAGCCTGAGCAGCAAATGCAGCTAGGTTCCCGCGGAAGTGCGCAGCTCAGGTTTGGCGCAGATACACCCAAAGCCAAGAAAGCGATCCCTACGAATTGCCCATGTTTGTCTGGAAAGCTATACCGCGACTGCTGTCGGCCATGCCACAAGGCATGGACATTGGTGTGACAAGACACAACTTCCTCGCTGTTTTTAATTTGCAGTGGCAGTTGATGAGCTGCTTATGAGGAAAATCTTATCCTATATAGTTTATAGTTAGTATTGAATACTGCTTTCATTACATATATATATATATAGCATGGGCTAGCGCCCGGGTGCCGCCGACCCCCCCTATTTGGGGGGTCCTGTGGAGAGAAGGAGAGAGATAGATGGATGGATGGATGGATGGATGGATGGATAGGTAGAGAGATACAGAGAGAGAGAGAGAGATAGACAGATAGATGGATTGATGTGGCTTGGGGGTAGCTTTTGCCTGCGTGGTTGGGCGTTCCGAAACGCTTTTGCAGAGTTTTAAAAGTTTTAAGGGTTTTAGGGGTTTTAGGGGTTTTAAGGGTTTAGGGGCTGGCAAACGGCAGGCTTGGACGCCCATAAGAAGCCATTGATGTGGCCTTGGGGTGCCTGTTGGCTGCGAACGGCTGGCGAACGGCAGGCTGGACCGCCCACAGAAGAAGCGATGGATCTGGCCTTGGGGTAGCTTTTGCCTGCGCGGTTGGGCGTTCCGAAACGCTTTTGGAGAGTTTTAAAGGTTTTAAGCGTTTTAGGGGTTTTAGGGGTTTTAAGCGTTTAGGGGCTGGCAAACGGCAGGCTTGGACGCCCATAAGAAGCCATTGATGTGGCCTTGGGGTGCCTGTTGGCTGCGAACGCCTGGCGAACGGCAGGCTGGACCGCCCAGAAGAAGCGATGGATCTGGCCTTGGGGTAGCTTTTGCCTGCGCGGTTGGGCGTTCCGAAACGCTTTTGGAGTAGGGGTTTTAATGGTTTAGGGGCTGGCAAACGGCAGGCTTGGACGCCCAGAAGAAGCCATTGATGTGGCCTTGGGGTGCCTGTTGGCTGCGAACGCCTGGCGAACGGCAGGCTGGACCGCCCAGAAGAAGCGATGGATCTGGCCTTGGGGTAGCTTTTGCCTGCGCGGTTGGGCGTTCCGAAACGCTTTTGGAGAGTTTTAAAGGTTTTAAGCGTTTTAGGGGTTTTAGGGGTTTTAAGCGTTTAGGGGCTGGCAAACGGCAGGCTTCGACGCCCATAAGAAGCCATTGATGTGGCCTTGGGGTGCCTGTTGGCTGCGAACGGCTGGCGAACGGCAGGCTGGACCGCCCAGAAGAAGCGATGGATCTGGCCTTGGGGTAGCTTTTGCCTGCGCGGTTGGGCGTTCCGAAACGCTTTTGGAGAGTTTTAAAGGTTTTAAGCGTTTTAGGGGTTTTAGGGGTTTTAAGGGTTTAGGGGCTGGCAAACGGACGGCATGCTGGACCGCCCAGAAGAAGCGATGGATCTGGCCTTGGACACCCATAAGAAGCCATTGATGTGGCCTTGGTGGCTGCGAACGCCTGGCGAACGGCATGCTGGACCGCCCAGAAGAAGCGATGGATCTGGCCTTGGGGTAGCTTTTGCCTGCGCGGTTGCGCGTTCCGAAACGCTTTTGGAGAGCTTTAAAGGTTTTAAGCGTTTTAGAAGTTTTAAGGGTTTAGGGGCTGGCAAACGGCAGGCTTGGACGCCCATAAGAAGCCATTGATCTGGCCTTGGGGTGCCTGTTGGCTGCGAACGCCTGGCGAACGCAGGCTGGACCGCCCAGAAGAAGCGATGGATCTGGCCTTGGGGTAGCTTTTGCCTGCGCGGTTGGGCGTTCCGAAACGCTTTTGGAGAGTTTTAAAGGTTTTAAGCGTTTTAGGGGTTTTAGGGGTTTTAAGCGTTTAGGGGCTGGCAAACGGCAGGCTTGGACGCCCATAAGAAGCCATTGATGTGGCCTTGGGGTGCCTGTTGGCTGCGAACGCCTGGCGAACGGCAGGCTGGACCGCCCAGAAGAAGCGATGGATCTGGCCTTGGGGTAGCTCTTGCCTGCGCGGTTGGGCGTTGTAGGCTGCGAACGCCTGGCGAACGGCAGGCTGGACCGCCCACAGGATGCCTGTTGCTAAGAAAGACAAGTTGTAACGGTTTGAAGCCTTTTAAGCGTTTAAGGGCTGGCCCACGGCAGGCTTGGACGCCCATAAGAAGCCATTGATGTGGCCTTGGGATGCCTGTTGCTAAGAAAGACAAGTTCCACACCTGCGGTGGTCCCAGGCGCCGCCCCTGCCTTGGCTAAGGCCGGGGTCGGCGGATAATATATACGTGTCAAAGGCAGGCTTTCTGCGCCTTTCGCAGCCTCAACAAGCAGGATTTTCTAAGTTTCAGGATCTTGACCTCTATCCGTTCTATCCGTGCACTTCTCTAATTGCTGGTAGGGACGAACGACAGGTCGCTTTCACTTTCAAAACAAATTCAGGTGGCTGCCCTCGCATGGCCATTTGGGGTCTATGTTGGTATAGGTGTGTCTCTGTGAACCAACGACCACAACAACCAGTAGACTCAGTAGATCAACACGGAGGATTTACAGAAGCGATCCCTGTGGAAGGATCCCCGCTTGAATGTGACGCCTGAACAGCTAGCGCGAGCAAGATATTCGGCCCTCGCTCTGAAGAAGTACGACTATCTCATTGCACCTCGGATTTCAAGACTTTGTGCCTCAATCCTGCTACAGTTCTTTGCTTCATCGTTTCAACTCTAGGACTAGGACTGTTGGATTCCTTCTGACACTGCTTGAGCCCTGCAAACTGTGCAAGCACAAATAGTAGCGGGAGCGACGTCAAATCCGGCAATCCTGAGCAAAAGGATACCACGCACCCTTCACATCCGGACTATCAGGACCTTCCGATGTATGCACTGGCAGAAAGCAGAAAAGAGATTCATTCCGAATCATTTTGAGGTTGTATTGAGAAAGGTTAGGCACTTTGAGGTGTTCTTGTGGGTTTGTTTCCAGGACAATCGCGAAGCTTGGAAGAAGGTGATGACTCGTAACAATCGTGGTTTTCGCTATGTAGGCTTGAACGTGACCAGTTCTGAACCCAGGGGTCAGGACTGAAATCTGCTTGCATTCTTCGAGCATCTTCGAGCCTTCAGCCTTTTTGAACGCAAGATGCTTGAGGACCTCCACGCTGTGACCTTTGAAGCAGCTTCTGAACCAGAGAAGGTGGCAGACCTTCCGCAGGACAGGCTGCAAGTCTTTAAAGTCAAATGGTTCTCTTCTTTGTTCTTTGGCCTACATTCTTATTATTTCGTGCTTATCACATCATTGAAGCTCAGACTTATAGCACTTTATAGCAATCCATGAAGACCCCGTGTGAAATTTGAGAACTCTGCCGACTGTGCCAGGTATTGCTGACTCGCGAGTGTTCCATTTATCGTTTCGATGGGGCCTGGAAATATGCCGAAGCAGAGGAGCTGAAGCGGGAGGTGCACTCAGTGCACCCGTCAAACGTGACAAACGGGGAGTTTTTTGCAAATCAGGTTTGCATAAATTATTAGCATCATAGAATGCTTCAGAACGATCAGTCCGTGCATCATCTCGCATCGTAGAACGATCATGGACATGGACATTCATGGACCCATGCTGGAAGCAACGTGAAATCATTGTGAATGAGCATCCTCTTTGTTTACTTTGGCAGGTTGTCAAAGGTGCAAGCTCCGTGCGGCAGTTCTCCTCTTGAACTCTTAGACCACTTTAGCAAGCATGTGCAAAGTTCGCATGCCTTCTTTGCAGATGGATTTGATCACAAGAAGTGATCTCATTTTGAACGGCTTAATGGCCAACTCCATCTTTTCTGCCAGCCTGGGGGCATGGGGCTGTGTAGATACGCTTAAAATCTGATTCAACATGCTTGCAAAAAGCGGTTCGGTTTGAATACCTTTTGCATCCTCTTGTTCTTTTTTTTGGTTACTCAGTTTCTGTTAGACTCCTGAGATGTAGCAGCTACTGGTGCCCTGAGGTTGCATTTGTCCTTGTGGACAGTGCTATCAATCGAGAAACACGTGCATATCTCAAAATGTTGGTTTTGGGAGACTTTTTTTTTCGGTCACGGGCCATGATGTATACCAAGCCAAATGAGGCTATTTGTGGATCTTGCTGTGGCTTGGATTCCTTCTGTGTGTCAACGAGGAACCCCTCTGCAGCCTGAGTGATGAGTTGTGAGTGATTTTGACATTTTGGCATTGCGGCCCCTGGCTGCCACTTTGTTGTTGTTTTGTCCATGGTCGTTTGTCGTTCCTTGCCACGCAGGGCATTGTGAAGAAACTCGTTGCAGAGCCAAGACCGGGCAGCTTAAGACCCAGCTCCAAGGGGCCTGGAGGCTCCTGGAGGAACGATTCAAGTACTGAATTTCCTTGGCACTGCGTGCAGTGTTGGGCCCATGTCGTTTGTTCAGCTCCCAAGGCATGATGGAACTGCGTGGACGAAACGGTCTGCTGGAAGGTTCCTGTGTGGAGACATGTGGCATGCCGTCCAGTCATGCAGCCTCTTGCTCAGTGGCTTGGGTGTCACAAGCTCTATCAAGCTCTTCAAACACAGCAAAAAGTCATCATCATCATCATCATCATCATCATCATCATCATCATGACTATGATAATAATAATCATCATCATCGTGATCATCATTATCATCATGTTCATGATGATCATCATGATTCATGATCATGATGATCATGATCATCATGATCACCATGATTCATGACCATGATGATCATGATGATCATGATCATCATGATCACCATCACCATCATCATCATCATCATCATCATCGTCATCGTCATCGTCATCGTCATCGTCATCGTCATCATCGTCGTTATAGGCTATAGTGTCATTTTAATCATTAAACAGTCACCGTGGGAATTCGACCTGGAAGTTGGCATTGGCATTGGCTGTCTCGACTCTAAGGCCATTTCCATGGGATGGTTTACCCTGCTTGATTCTCAAACTGGAACAGAACAGTAGTTGAGCATCGAGACGTGCAACATACTGCAACGAAATGAAGAACACGGATATTTTTTTCAATGGATTGAACGCATGTCACAAGTTGGCCATGCCATCCATGCAACAAGAATGCAGTGAAATCTGGAGGTCAGTTCTCGATGCGATCAGCAAGACGGACACCAGCTTCTTGATTCATAATAACAGCTGGTATGCGGTTTGTACAAACGCTACAGCTAAAAGTGTACTGTATACTGGTAGCATACAGTACAGCATCCAATACCGTATGGATTTTTACGGGTTCTTAATGATTGTTCCCCAGATAGCGAAGCTATTGAGGTTCTTACTTCAAGTACAGGATGAGTTCGATATGTGCGTTTTGGAAGGGCCATGTTGGTGCCGCTGCAGGCCGCTGCAGGGTGCCGCTTCAGGGTGCTGCTTCAGGATGCTCCTGTTGGAGTGGTGTGTGCGCTTTGGAGCTGGGATGTAGGTGCCGCTGAACGGTGCTGCTGCAGGGTGCCGCTGCAGGGCGCTGCTGTCAGAGTGCGGTGCGTGCTTTAGAGCTGGCTTGCTGGTGCCGCTGGTGCTGCTACAGGGTACTGCTGTCAGAGTGCGGTGTGCGCTATGAAGCTTGGGTGGTGGTGTCGCTGCAGGGGTGGCTGCGAGCTGTGTATGACAGTGTGGGCGTTGGCCCTGATGGAGATTACGTTTATGCCGTAGCAAAAGATGCGAGCGCTTGATTGCCACCAAAACATATAGCTTTTGCTATCTGGGGTCTATGCTGGCGTGATTTTTTCTATTTTGTCGAAGCTTTGCCATTTTCTTATTGCAGCCATTTTGGTGTTGAGACCTGACAAGACAAAATCCAAGGTGGAGACCACATCGATGATACAGGCCGCGATTTTGTCACTCCTTTCTTTTGCCCATCTCAACGATGTAGATAAGACTTTACATGTCGGCCTGCTGTGCACGAAGACACGCCCGATCTAGTGGTGTAAGGTGGTGTACAAGTCTTGAAAATATGAAGCTTTCTGCAGAGCTGTGGCTTTGGGTGTTGACTCCTGGTCTGCTCATGACTTGTGAGTTTGCAGCAGCCCGTGTATTTGGAGGGTATACGACGAGGATTCCAAATTTTGATGGGGATTCTAAATTCTAAACCTGGCACGCTAATTTTTATCGACGGTCAACCCATCGTGGCTGCTTGAGCAAATTAATTTCCACAAAATGCTTTGCATGTATCTTGCCTAAAAAAGATTTTTATCATTCTATCGTGAAAGCACCTTGCACCAATGACATTCGTTGCCTACTGAACGGATTGAAATTCGATACTTTTTACAAGCACAGCAAGTACCAGTAGTACCCCACAAGGCGGGGGTGGAAGCTCCAACGATAGGAAACCTATAGAAGAGGTTGGTTGTTGTGAAGCATGGATGGCAGAGCAAACCCACTGATGGATCGAAAGGTGATTGAGGCTCTGACTCTCTCATTCTCTCTCTTTCTCTCCTGTTCGTCTCTTTGAAAACTTTCATTATCTTTCTCTATCTGTCTGCTTGTCTCTTTGTCCATCCATGTCTCTGATGATCTATCTCCTTTTCTGTCTATCTATGTCTCTCTTTATATATATATATAATATATATATATGTATATATATATATATCTCTCTCTCTCTCTTATTTTTTCTCTTTATCTATCCATCCATCAATCGGTCTATCTTGATGTGCTTCTATCTATCCGTTTATCTATCTGCCCATCTTTCTGCCATTTCATCTATCGATCCAGCTATCCATCTCTTTATCTATCTGTTTAACCATCCACCGCTCTGTCCATGGTTTTATGTATCTATCGAAGTGTCCTTCTCTCAATGCCTCTCGCCATGTGCCTCCCACTCTCCTTATGTTACCTGTCTAATTATCTATCTCTTTATCTGTCTGTCTGTCTGTCTGCCTGTCTGTCTGTCTACTGCCTATATATCTGTCTATCTGTCTGTCTATCTATCTACCTGCCTATTTGTCTGTCTATCTGTCTATCTGTTTATCTGTCTATCTGTCAATCTGTTTCTCTATCTATTTACCTACCTACCCACCTACCTATCGATCTATCGATCTATCCATCTAATCTAATCTAACCTAACCTAATCTAATCTAATCTAATCCAATCCAATCTAATCTATCTATCTATCTATCTATAAATGTTTCTTATCTATCTATGTTTCTTATCTATCTTTCTATCTGCCTATTTGTCTATGTATCTGTCTATGGATCTATCCATCCAGCCATCGATGCATCGATCGATCGATCTCTGTCGATCATCCATCTATCGATCTATCGTTCTGTCTATTTATCCTATCCTATCAATCTATCTACCTATCTATCTAGCTATGTATCTATCTATCTACCTGTCTATCTATCGATCTGTCGATCTATCTATCTATTTATCTATCTACCTACCTACCTATCTATCTGTCTGTCTGTCCTGTCTGTCTATGTTATCTTTGTTTCTTATCTATCTGTATCTTATCTATCTATGTTTCTTACCTATCTCTCTTATCTATCTACCTTATCTATCGAATCTATCTATCTGTATCTATCTAGTCTCTCTAATCTATCTTCTGTCTGTCTGTCTTTCTATCTATGTATCTATCTATCTACCATCTATCGATCCATCCATCCATCCATCTTATCTTTCTTGTCTATCTTATTCTATCTTATGTATCTTATCTAATCGAGCTAATCTATCTTATCTATCCTATCTACCTATCTATCCTATCTATCTTACCTTTCTTATCTACCTTATCTTTCTTATCCATCTTATATATCTTGTCTATCTTATCTACCGTATCTATCTTATCTTTCTTATCCATCTTATCTATCCTATCTATCTTGTCTGTCCTATCTATCTTTTTCATCTTATCTACCTTATCTAAATTTCTATGTATCTATCTATCTATCTGTCTGTCTGTCTGTCTGTCCATCCATCCATCGATCTATCGATCTCCTTCGATCATCGATCTATCGATCTATCGTTCTGTCATCTATCCTATCCTATCTGTCTTTCTATCTACCTATCTATTTGTCTATCTATGTACCTGTCTATCTATCAATCTGTCTATCTATCTACCGGTCTATTTATCAATCTGTCTATCTATCTGTCTCTCTTTCTATCTATCTTTCTTTCTATCTATCTATCTATCTTTCTTTATTCCTTTCTTTCAGTCTTTCTGTGTCTCTGATCTATCTGTGTCTATTGTCTTTTTGTGTCTCGTATCTGCCTGTGTATACATCTATATATCTGTCTATTTTTTCTGCGAGACTTACTTCAAATTTGGAAGTTGACAACATGAAAAACGCAGCAATTCTGCGAGACGTCCTTCAAAAATGGAAACTCCAGTGCTGAGCCGACAGCTTCGTGCCAATGCGTTTTGCAATTTTTCCAAAGTATTGCGCCTGCCACCAAAAAGTAAGGTGAGGTCATGCAAAGTGCTGCACGTGTCACGCGCAATCATCTTAGGAAACCTGAAGATCTGATGCTCCAGAAAGCAACCCCTCTCAGCTTGTACTGCGTCTGCCACGCAACATGCATGTTTACAGATCCTCTTCAAACGTCCCACGCCTGCCATCGTTGTGGAAACGTGACAAAACCTCACTTTTCACCAGGTGGAGAATCCATTGCGCGTGCCACACAAAACGCCGCTTGAATGCCCAAAAGTGGTCCGAACATGTGTTTTTTTCATTATTTTGACGTCCAAATGTGCTTCGCGCCACAGCGGCGTGCACTTTTTGAACATCTCAGCTTCCAAAATTGTGCCGATAATGGTGTGCTTTCTACGTTTTGATTTCGAAAAGCGTGCTTCTCGCCACAGTCGCGTGCACTGTTTCGACATTTCAACTTCCAAATCGGTCCGAACCTGAGGTGTTTTTGCAATTTTAATTTCCACATGTGCTTCGCGCCGCGACGGCGCGCAATTTTTCCTCTCTCATACAACCAGATGGCTCCGTGGCTGCCACATTAGCGAGCCGACTTTTCGACAAGACATTGGTAAAACACAGTGTTCTTGGTTTTTCTACTTTTTCGCGCGCCTGCATCTTCTCTTTTCTATTCTTTGTTTTTCTTTCTTCTTCCTTTCTCTTCCCTGACTCTTCCCACCTCTGCTTTTCCATCTGTCCACATTGTCGGAAATTTGACTTCTAAACTTCCTTCGATGAACTCTTTCGATACTTTTCGCACTGTAGGTTGAAATGCTGAAGCGTTGAACTTTCCCTTAGGTATTCAAGGCCCAACACATCCAATTTTTCTGATACTGCTCCAACATGTGCACATTTTGGAACGCGCTCAGTAACATGTTTTCTTCTGTATTCCATGGGTTCCTCACTCCCAGAACCAAGTCTCAAAAGAGTTGCTGGGGGCATTTTTTGCATGTGCGCGTGTGTTGTATGTGTGACCATACATCACTATGAGTCAATATGCACAATTGTGAGATCAATCGTGTACATTAAGCGTTTGTGTGCGCGCGAGTGCGTTAGCATTTCACACGGGTATATCGGCGCACGTGGGGTACATGTGTTGGTCGTTTTTCCTCAGGTTCATCTCGAGATGTCTTGGTGGCAGAGCAGCGAAAATGGGGAGACTTCATCAGGAGACCTAGCAGCATTTGAATTCAGACATGAAACCGTGAACATGTCTTGGAGCACTTGGATTGAGTTCGTGCGAATGCTGTGCAAATTGTATCAGAACAATGGACCGCTTCAATTTCAGATGCTCAGACCAAACTGACAAACTTGCTCAGGAACTTCTGTATCTTGGATACATCTGGCGTTTGGTGGGTTGAGGTGCGGAGGGAAAACATAATCCCCACGAAATTCAATGCCTTTTAAATCTTGCATAATTAGACTAATTCATGTTTTGCAGAAACTTCTCGTTGTTTGACACTGTCCTCCAGACGGAACGAACATGGATAAAAAATGATAAAAACATAAAATGCACAAAATGGAAACCAAGGCTGGATCCCTTGGGTTGAGAAGACAGATCTGACGGTCAGAGAATTTATTTCGATTGCGCCCTTGTTGCTTTGCATGTGAAAAAATCCCAAAAAACAGCACTTGTCCAAGGCACTTGTCACACTTGTCCAGGTGTAAGTCTACTAAGTAATGTAAAAAACATGTTCTCTTTTTGCATTTTTTGCCCTGACTCGGCAGAACTTTCTGGGAGGTACTTTACTGGTGTTTGCTGCTGGTGGTGGGCTTGGCTGCGCGTACTGAAAATAAATGAAACATGCGAAACTTATTCAACGAGATTCAAAACAAATCACCAAAAAGTCACCGAAGAGTTGGAGAACTCGGAAGCTCACGGAGGTGCCTGTGCCCTTCATGAGGGTTGTCTTACGCGATCATACTGAGAGTCAGGCCTGGCCAGATCGATTTCTGAGATTTCTTAGCCATGCGAGAGCCATGAAAGTCTTGGTCAAAGATGGTCAAACTGGATGGTAACAAACGGGGTTGCAAACTGTTTCGATGTCAATTTAAATTTCATGAGTCAACTTTGTTTGCTCTGAGTATTCTTTGAGGCGTTTGCTGGCTGTATTCTTGGCATGACACTTGCCATGGTTTGGTGGCGGGTGCTTCGAGTACTTGAAAGGAGGCACACTGTGATGTTTGACAGGTTCAAGACATTTCAAGAGATTCATTGGACAAAGGTGTGTATGTGTGGAATATGCCTCTGGATTGCGATGAGACCTTGCCGCTTTCACTTGTCTATTCCACACAATTTCCATCAGAGTGGGAACACAAGAGTAGACAAGAGCAGTCTTACAGCTCAAAGTACCTCAAAGACCAGAATAAAGCGCATTGAAAATCATTGAAATATATTGTCAAAATATTGAAATACATACTGACGATTTGTGACATACTCATCGAAATCGAGCCCCCTGGAAGCCTGGATCAAAGATGCGCCCAGAGGTATCACATCACGTTGAGAGGACAGCCACGACTAGCTACGCCTCGGAGGCCTATTCTTTTTTTGGGGGCTAAATTTGAAATCTTGCTATAACTAAGAAATATTAACACGTTTTCTCTTTGGAGTGACCAGCTTTATACAGTCTTACAAGATCTTACAAGATCTTATACAAGTATCCCTCCAAATTGTCGCTCACTTTGGATGCTTGGAGGCCCACTGAAGTGGAAATGGGTGCTCCATGAGTTGAACAGCCATGCTTTGCGAGCAAACGGCGATGCCGATCGACGCATATTTTGTGCCAGTCAATTTGGGATTCAGTCTGATCTGACGATCCGATCTGCTGCACAAAGTCACTGAGACTTGCTGCATAACCATGTTGATTCTTGATGCATGCTGCATGCTATCCTTGTGCCTTTGGCTCAAGGCCAAAGTGCCTCCAGTCTAGCCGATCAATCGCCAAAGGCGACACAACGTGACGAGAAAAGTTTAGTACAGCAGAATGCGATTGCAGAAGAAACATTGTCCAAAAGACCCCACACACACACTGCTGTATCTACGTTCCAATATATATATATATATATTTTTTTTTTGGCTGTGGCACATAGAGACTTGTTCGTCGCGGCCTAGCTGTCAGGAATGAATTCTCACATATATATACGTATCATTATATATAATATATATATAGCACGATTACTGTTTGAACATACCTGACTTACCTTCTCATTTTTTCTGAGCCATGTGACCCCAATGCGCCCTTGGCCGGCAGATATGCCTGGTGAGCTGGTTGCTCATGGCAGCTCTAGAAAAGAGCGGCTCTTTCAGCCAGGCACAAACCGGAGCTCTTTGACTCTTTGTGCCATGTGCACAATGAATTCAATTTGAGCATTTAATTACATTTGTACACAAATTTGCAGCATGATTGATTCCTGCACTTTCAGCTTGTTCTTAAGCTTCATGAACTTTCCCTACTTGAGCAATTCCTAAAGAACTTGTGTGCCTTTTGCATCATTTTGCTCTTGATTTTGAACTTGCCAGATCCTAGCAGTGGAGATGAGGCCAGCTCCCTGTGAGATACAGTAGATCAGCAGATTCTGTCGATTGCGGGCTGATTTCGCAGAAGACTTTCAGACGTTGGATGCGCTGTTTTTCCTATTCCATTGTGTTTGGTATAAATATATATATATATTATATATATATTATATATATTATATATATTATATATTATATATATTATATATATTATATATATATATATTATATATATATTCATCTTGCACTACACCACTTCACTACTGCATTTCTGTCAACTCCTCACAAACACTGCTGCGATGTTATCACATTTTTCTCTGCTTTGCAGTATTGATGCTTGCCAGTTGGAATTTTCCATGGCCCCAATCCTGTGTTTTTATCCCCTTCAGGCCCTTTCTAGGCCCATGTTGTGTTTGTTGTTTGTCGTTTTATTTTGGTAGTTTGTGTATTTCCTGCTATCCATGTTTTCTTTTTTGATTCCTTGATTTACTTGTTTCTGTGCTTGATGCTTGCGTAATTGGTTGCTGCTGTTGCTGGGGTTCTGTACTCTTTCCACTGCAGTCCATGCACAAAATATGCACCACACATTGGATGGAAACACGCATGCCTGACAAACCAGACACAAATGACACAAAAAGCACAATGCAAATGCTGTACATGCATGAGTACATATGAGTACTTTCTGTAATTCCTGCATGATCATTCACAGATCATTCACACCTGCTTCCGTTGAGGAGGTGCCATGATATCCTGATTTCAGACCCAGTGACAGAGAACTTCCGCTCGCCGCCTTATTTGGAAACAAGTCCCTCCGTTACTATAATTCACCTGGAAAACAAGGTTAGTAGACAAAACAGCATTCTTGGAACATGCTCCAGAAAACTTCCAGAAACTCGCTTCAGGCCTGTTTGCCGGACAAAGTGCCGCATTCAAGTCGAAAAAAGAGGCGAGAGCTTTGAAAGCGATGAAACACCTAGCAGACTTGAAAGTGGTGAAAGTGGATCAGCATCCTGCCCTTTGGTTTGCTGCAATTTAATATTAATAAATGTCAGTAACTCCTCGTGAACAGGTGGCGCGTGAAAAAGGTCAAGTCAGCTTCGGAGCCAGCTTCGACATTGAAGGCAGTGGTTCTGTACATTCAGGTCCTGACTTTGGCGTGCCCTCGCAGTCGCAGTCCATTTGCCAGGTTTCTGAGTACACGGTGTCGCACCAGACAAACAACTGTGAGGTGGAAACAGAGTCAAGAGATTTCACAAAGGGTTCAGCTCTCTTACTGAAGAGTAAAGCTTGCATTCGTCCCATTGCAGGCTACTGCACTTGCTATCTTCAGGAAAAGCGGCTTCGTAGTCGTGGAGGACTCTATGCTTGTCGGGTTGTTTTGAACAGCAACTCAGTCATGTGGTCACATAGTTGGCATCTTTCTTCTATATGGTTGTAGGGGCAGGTCTTGCAGAGCCCGTTGAGAAGACATACAATGGCTTGGGAAGCGCAGGATGTGTTGAATGATGTGCAGTGCCGAGAAGTTCTGGAAGTGTGCAACGCAGTGGCGAAGGACGCTGCTTCGATCCCTACTTTGTCAGGAAAACTGCAATGGTCCCCGATTTGGCTTTTGATCTTTCGACACCTTCACAGCCCTGCTGTCATGATACTGCTGAGATATGCTGAGTGTTTTGCAAGGAGATGGTGGGACCACACCGTGCCGGCAATCGGGGGCATGGTCGGTACTCATTTGGATGGGCATCTAGCACTGGGTCGTCCTTGCCTCAACCGCACATTTGCAAGTTCAGACAGTGGAAGCAAAGTAGCAAAATATGCAAAATGCTGCAAAATCATCAACAAGTCCCCACTTGGTCTGAATAAGACGGATCCATAGAGAGTGATTTTTGGCAGTTCAAGCTGGAATCCAAGCTGACAGGATTCTGCATGAGAGGGCCATCGCCAGCAACTTGTTGAGTCATGCTGGCATGATGTCGGGAGCCAAGCCGAAGACTCTTTACTCTGGTGCTTTGTCTATGTGTTCAAATTGATTGCTTTTTCCACTGAGATTGCATCCGCTCCTGTGCAGTATTTTCTGCTGCGATGAAGGCAAGCCGAGCACTTAGATATCTTAGATTTTGACGGCTGCACGGACTACTTTGTTTTGTGCTCAATCGAAGTCTTTTTCGAAGATCGCTCCCAGGCCTCAATTCTCATGCTACAGTGGTGGTGGAGATTTTGTGCTGCCTGGAGTGGAGGAGTATCAGCCCTTGCACAGCGACATCCAGGTGTGAGAGCTGTGCAGAAGCATATGAAGGATCAGGATTGCAATGGATTGCAATGGATTCCGTATTTCATCGGAACTTCATGTTGAGAACTTCAATTTTGGAAATCAACCTTGGACGGGGAGTGTCTGCAGGTGAACAAAAGCTTCAGCATGAAGATGCCTCCACCGTACCTCTCTGTGAACTTCTGCGTGCAGGAGCTGTCCTTTCCAAGAAGTGGGACATGAATTTCACAGTGGGAAAAGGTCCAGTGCAGCATTGGCTTTCATTGAAAGGCACTCACGGCTGAGAATGGCCCTATCCGCATGATTCCAGGCCAGGCAAAAACTGACAGATCTAGTTGGGACATGTTGGGTCCACAGCCACCAACCGCTTTTTCATCTCTGTTTTTGAGGCAAAACAGACCATGATTGGACGGGCAGAAAAGAGCCAGCGGAGAAGGGACCTCAATTTCCGCAAGCACAGACTGTGTTTTTTTTGAGATGCAGAAAAGTTGCCTCTGGCTTCCAGTGATCCTGTTTCGATCCTTTGAGGTGGCGGAATTCGCGACTCTTTCCCGTCCCAGCGGGAGCTGCCTTGGCGTGGCTCACAGCGAATTCCGAACTAAACCGACTGTTTGCCTGTGGCAAAACCGTTAAAGTGTTAAACTTGGTTCAACCTGGCATTTTGCACACGAATTGCATGACATTGCAAGAGGGAAATTATTTGTGCTTTGCCTAAAGCTCCATGGCTAGATGAAAAAGAAACTGTACGGACTGGGCCCCCAAAATGTGTGCCTTTGCCCGGTTGTCAGGTTCGTGATGTGCGAACGTTGCATGGTGGCACTCCAAATGTGTCCGTGCGGAACTCAGGGAACCAAATGAAGCCGAGATGGGCAATGGAAAGTCTGGAGTTGGCGGATTCCGTTACAATCTGTTTTGATCCGCTCAGGAGCGGACGCGGTATTTGCCGAGCATTGAGTGTCTTGGCAACATACAGGTAACAAGAAGTGACTTTATGTCAACATGTTCACTGTGGTTGCGAAATTCTGATCTGAAACTAGGTACGTCTCCACCGGGTTCAAAGAAGCTCGGCGCAAGGACATGTTTGGGCACCCAGAGAAGGTCAGTCAATGTGACCTATAGGTGGAACATGGTGGAACATGGTGGAACATGGTGGAACTGCAATTTTCTTTCCTTCAAAGCTTTGCTGCATTTGTCGTGTATACGTCTGTCGTGACACGGAAACTTCTATCTGTTTTGGCAGCTTGGCTAAGGTTTCCGGCGGTGCGATCGATACCCCGAGAAATCTTCAACGCTCTGCCAAAAAAGGCGCAGAGAAGACAACGATTTTCTTGACATCTCATCACTGCGTTGCTCCATCATGCTTTTCAAGACTTTTCAAGACTTTTGAATGCTTCAATTTTTCCACTCTGATGGTCCTTGAATCCTCGTCCAGATGCGTCGACTTTGCCGCGATATAGTTGCAGAAGAACCTGAGCCAGGACATGTGGTGCTGCCATCACATGCCATGTTCATGATACCCCTGCAGTCATTAACATGAATATATCTATATATAAATCTATATTATGTACAGTATATAATATATATATACATATTATATATATATGTATACGCATCTATACACAAATACAGTTAAATACACATATATATATATATGAACACAGTCTACGGACCGTGCATGTCTTGTGATGCCTTCAGTTCGAAGATAGTGTTAAAGCCGCCAGGAAACGAACTGGAAAATGTGGATCCGTGGAAAAGCCCATGCTGGCACGGGGTCAAGTACAGGCGAATGTGAGATTTGTGTGCGCGAGCTTCGCGAAAGCGAAGAGGCAAAATGCAGTCGATTGAGTGCTTTGAATTGCTAGTTTTTCAGTGGGACATTTTTGCCTTGACACCATCACCTTCAACCCACATTAGACTCGCTTCAATTTTTCTTGCCCTTTTGCAATCCGAACTGGCTCGAGGCCTTTTGGTCAATTTGTGACGCATGACCGTGGAGATACTTGACCATCTACACACTTGTTTGTTGCACATTGATTTTTTCTTACAAGTTTTTTGCAGTCTCAAACTCTCAAACAAGGAAAACCGTGAAGAAGTCTTTTGTGTGACAAGACTCAGTTGTGGATGCCGTTAATCGATATTGGGGAAGGATCGATGTAAAATGTAGAAAGTCTCCTACTGCATCCTATCATGAGTTCCATTGTGGAACGAACTGCCGGTGAACTACGGGGGAGCATCACCCACTTGCACAAGGACTGTGCACAGCTGCAAGTGAAGGAACCTGACACTCTTGTTCACCGAGTATGGTGCGTTTGGACTTGAGATATTTATGATGCATTTTCCAGCATCCAAGAGGATCCGAGATGTTGGTGGAGACTGTTTTCAGGATATTGAGTCAAAAGCCGCCACGATTCAGCACCTCCAAAGTGCTTGGAAAGCAAAGAACCAGACAATTGAAATTCTGTTGCGATCTCAGATATCTCAGATATCTCAGCAACATATTTCAGAACTTTCAAACACCCTCATTTCTGCAAACATTTTCGGTTTGGCATGTGCACTCAGGTCAAAATCAAGGAACACAAATGGTGAGAATTTGGGTGCATACATTGAAGAGGCACCGACTTGCGGCGATGTTGGGGACGTCAAGAGCCCAAAAACGTGAAACTTGATTGCGGTCCTTCCTGAAGGCACTACAGAAAGGCAAAACGTTGAAACCGCTTGGGTAAGCTACATTTTCAGCCAAGTGTGGAGGAGGCAAAGATACCCAAAAAGTCTTCAATATGAACCCCCAAAACGGACTACCCCATTTGTTAGGATCTATTTTGAACCTCTCATTCTTTATCCTGCCCTTGCTGCCGTGACGCTAGAACAGAACCCCCAGCACCATGGAACAGTTTCAGAACCTTCAAGGGCGAAACGAGAGATGGAAACACTTCCGGCAGTTCTGATTGTTCTGGCTTATAGGGTCCTAGCAAAAATCCTTTTGGACCGATGGGTGCATACAACGCCAGCGCCACCTTCTATTCGGGTCTTCTGGATTAAATGCGCAGTTGTAACGTGTGGCGACCATGTAGGTGACATATCCAACTGCAAAGCACTTAGAAAATCAAGAATCCAAACCCAATGATTTGAGTCAGTGTGCTGATATTCTATGTGTTTTCGTTGACTGCATTAACAAAAACCCGAGCTACAGGGTAATCTCACGATGGGCCTTCCGAATTTCAAGGCCTTTTCCCAGTTCCAAGTTCCTCACGATCCTCACGGGATTTCAGTTCCACGGTGGCTGGAAGGTTTCATTGTTCTCACTCTCAGGATAATCTCTCAAAGTGATGACTTAGTTGTACTGAACTGCTGTACCCAATGCAGCTATCCTTGATTGGAGCAGGGGTAAATCCGTCCTGCAAGCACAAAATCATGTATGTAGGGTTTAAGGCAGTTTTTCCCAGAGGTTTGACATGTTTTTCATGCCTTTTGGATCCTTTTGGAGCCGTTAGGAACAACTGAAACATGATGCTTACTGTAAAGTGATGCGTCATCAAACGTACATTCTCCAAGGTCGATTTTTTGGACGTGTTCTCCTGCAAGGGTAATATGTTGTCAACATCCTGTAATATGTGCAATAGGTGCAATAGACAAAATTATTTCCGCCTAACGCTTTGATTCAATTTGGCGAGACTTCAAAAGCGTCAAACTTGCTGATGAAAGATCGTTTTTTGCACAATTTACACTGTACACATACAGTAGTCACTGTATGTCGCTATAATGTCGCTGTATGTCGCTGTACTGTATTGTTCTCATGCATTCTCTTGGAAACCACTTTGCAACCCTGGCATGGCCCCGACAGCTTGGCACACAGGCCGTTGCCGAGCAATGCAAGACCAAGTTGGCCGAAAAGAATGAAGAGGCCCTGGAACCTCTTGGAACGACGGATCACCTGATGCAATGAAACCAGTGTAAACAGGGTATGAACACTCCGGGTGTGTATTTCAGTTCAGAACAATACATGAATTCTGCTTACAGCCACATTGTTCATATTGTGAACTTGGCTGACAGGAGTGACAAGAGAGCTAGGTCCTCGTTGGCATATCTTGATATATATATATATAATATATTATATATATAATATAATATATATATATATATACGTATATATATATATACACATAATATAATATCTTGGCCAATTTCAGTTTTGCTGGTAACATCAGACGTTTTTCATCACTGTGCGTAGGTGAATCGCCTTATGGAGCTGCTCCACGACATGGAAGAGCGACAGTCACAGGGTGGGACTGCCACAACTGCAACAACTGCCACGACTGGTGCGAGAAGTGATTCAGACCAGATAGAGACACTGAAGGAGCGACTGAAAGAGTTAGAGCAGTTGGAACAGCAGCGACAGGTGGAGCACTTGGAGTTGCAACAACTTCGACGAGACTTGGAAGAGCTCCAGGGTCATTCCAGAGAGGTGGAGGCGCTTGCTGCTGAAAGAGCTGCTGAGAACGACCGTTTGGAGACTGATCTCAAAGAGATGCGAGAAGAAGCTGATGCAAATGCTGCCAAATTGGGACAATTTCGTGAATATCAGTCAAAGGCATTTGAATTAAAGCACACCAATGATGTATTGAGCGAACAGTTGGAGGCCTTGCAGGACGAAATGCAAAGGATGCAAAGTGACTACGGTGACGAAGTGGAGCAACTGAAGAAGGAAATCTCCATTTCACAAAATGATCGTCGAACTCATCGGCAAGCTGTTGAAGAGCATGTTGAAGCTAAGATCAGTCATCTCCGAAAGGAGAAAAATGCAGAGCTTCTTGAAGCTTTACAGCAAACTGAGGAGAAGACCAAGAAGATCAAAGACCTTGAAGCAGAGCGAGATCGTCTAAGACTCAAAATTCAGGCGCAGGAGCTGGAGCTTCTTGAAATTCAAGCTTTGCATACTTTGCAAACAGAGGCAGGACCTCAGAGTGAGGCCGCATCTAGCGCATCTAATGGCGCCTCTAACGAGCGAGTGATTGCTCTGCGAGAACAGAGCCAATTTGCTTTTGATGAGATGGCCAAGCGTTTGGTAGAGATTCGTGAAGAAGGCGAAACAGAACGAAAACGTTTGCAAGCTGACCTCGAGCAGCAGCTGAAGCAACGTGCAGCAACTTTGGTGGAGGTGCAGAATGATAGAGATCGAGCCGAGACGCATGCTGAAGCTTTGGAGCAATCCAACAAAGACTTGTCTCAGCAGCGTGATGAACTTGTGAGACAGCTGGGTGAAGAAAGGAAACGCACTCAAGAACTACAAGAGGAGCTTGATCTTCAACATGAGCACCAAAAGACTCAGCAGCAACGTTATGCAGTTCTTGCTTTAGTTCATGCACTACAGAAAAGCACAGTCATGCCGGCCTTCTCACTCATTCGAAGAAGTATAGATGCCAGTCATGGCAGAAACACTTCGCCCAACATAAGTGAGCAGAAAGAGGAATTCGAATCATTCGATGTTGAAGAAATGGACGCTGTCGATACCTCTGTTGGTGAAGCAGGCAGTGAGGAAGAGGAGAGTGACGACGAACCTGAGGACTCTTATGGAACGGACAATGCAGGTCAGGAAGAATGGACTGAGTTAATGAAAGCCAACACGTTTGAAGCTTGCTTCGTTGGAGCTGACACTATCGGGCAAAACACTTCAAGAGCGGCATCAGATCTGCAAGAACACGTGAGCAACATCACAACCTCACTGGAGTTTTTTCCGCAGATCTACCCAAGTCTTTTGCAAGAATTAGACAAAAGTCCAAAAGGTTACGGGAAAGAGCTTCGGAAGTTCATCCTTGTTATGCAGAAGGCTACTGATCGAGCAGTAAGGATTGCTTCAAAGGTTGTCGAGCTTTGTGAGCAAAACGCTGATGTCATTGCGAAGTCCAAAAACTTGTTCCGTTTGAAGTCTTTGGATGGGCATCTCAAAAGCCTTAGAACGGCTGGGCAGCATGAAGTGCTTTTGCGTTTTTACAAGAATCAACTAGCGGCTCAAAAGGAAGCATATGAGGATGTTTTGGACCAATATGGCGCTCAGTGCGAGCAGAACACAGAGCTCGAAGAAAAGCTAGATTCCTTGGGGAAGGAGCGGCAAGAACTTCTGAATGAACTAGCTTCCTTCAAATCGAATCCCAAGGAGACTGGACAGCGTGAAATCTCCAGCGAAGTTGAACAACTTCGGATCCAGCTTGAAGATGCAAAGAAGCAGATACTCAGATTGGAATCAAGGGAGCAGCAAGCCAACTGCGATACAAGCTTGGAACAAGGGGCTTCACCAACAGAGAGTGGTGCTGCCAGTCAGTCAAGCAAAGGAAAAGGCAAAAGCAAGAAAGGTCCAGGACCACCACCATCCACAGGAGGAGTTCAGGCGGCAGAAGATCCAGCTACAGAAAATGCTGAAGCGGCGCAGGAAACACCTCCAGCTGATGATGAAGTGAGCTCTAGCCCTGCCCCTGCAAAGGCAAAGGGGAAAGGCAAGAAGGGTCCAGGACCACCACCATCCACAGGAGGAGTTCAGGCGGCAGAAGATCCAGCTACAGAAAATGCTGAAGCGGCGCAGGAAACACCTCAAGCTGATGATGAAGTGAGCTCTAGCCCTGCCCCTGCAAAGGCAAAGGGGAAAGGCAAGAAGGGTCCAGGACCACCACCATCCAAAGGAGGAGTTCAGGCGGCAGAAGATCCATCAGCTACAGAAAATGCTGAAGCGGCGCAGGAAACACCTCAAGCTGATGATGAAGTAAGCTCTAGCCCTGCCCCTGCAAAGGCAAAGGGGAAAGGCAAGAAGGGTCCAGGACCGCCACCATCCAAAGGAGGAGTGGAACAGCCACAGACAGATGAAAACACAAGCCAAGACACAGTTCCTCCTGCTGGCGCTTCTTCTGGCAAGGGAGGTAAAGCTCCCCCGAAGGGCGCTTCAAAAGGGAAGAGCAAAGGGAAATCGGCATTGCCCGACATTGATCCCGGTCCTGCTCCACCAAAAGACATGGTTGGGAAGAAGTTCCATTGGACAAATGTGCTTGGCAATCGCTTTGCTGGTTCCATGTTCGAAAGGATCGTTGAGGACTTGAACTCTTCAGCACAGCCAACCGAGCAAGCCAACGACCAGTTGGAACGGGCCTCAAAGACGCTCCGCGTGAAGTTGGACGTCGGGGTGCTAACAAACTTTTTCTTCAAGAGGAAGGAAGAGGCTGAGACAAGCACTGAAGTCAAAGAAAGCAAGAAGAAGACGGTAGCTCAATGTTTGAGTATGCAGCGCAGTCAAAATATCGAGATCTTCCTGAACGGTTGTGGCATCAACATATCCCATGTGAAGAGCTCCGTTTTAAACTTGGATGAAAAGGCAATAGATGTTCCAGCCTCAGAGACAGGTTTGCTTTGACGAGAACATGATTTTCTCATTGGTTCATGAATTGCTCATGTAAGCAACGATGTTTGCTTTCGCAGCAGCGCTTTGTGCCACTAAGGCTGACAATTTGGGAAAAGTCATCGAAATTCTTCCTCAAGGAGAGGAATTGCAAGAGCTCATGGAGTTCAAGAAAAATAACGATCCAAAGGTGTTGCCTTGGGGTCGTGCAGAAGAATTCCTTTTGCAGCTGCTGGAGATTCCGAACTTCAAGATCCGAGCAGAATGCTGTTTGACCAAGAGCAGGTTTGACCCTATCTGCAATGAAATCCTCCAAGATATTGAGCTGTTGCACAGATGTTTGTCCAATGTGGTCGATTCGTCTTGGTTGCCAAACATCTTTGCACTGGTGATGCAGATGGGTAATTACCTGAATCATGGCACAAACAAAGGGCAGCAACGTGGATTCACCCTAGATACCTTGCCGTTGCTCACTCGAGTTGAAGGGTTCCATGACAAGTCGTATTCACTGATCCGCTTTCTGATGGATACATTGGAATCCGATCGCAAAGTGAAAGATGGAGCCATGAAAGATTTGGAGCTCTGCGAATCATCTGCAAAGCTTGACTTCGATGAATCGGTGAGGCGCCTCAATGAGATTGAGAAGAAGGTCACATTGGTGGAGGGAAGTTTGAAAGAACTGAAAGACGACAAGACTGACACAGATGGATTTCAGACGGTGATGCAAGCCTTCGTCACAGCTGCACAAGCGACTCTCTCAAAGTTGAAAGAAAAAGTTGATGAGGCCCGCCACTTCTCATGTACATCTTTCTCATCTTTCTTACATCTTTCTTACATCTTTTTTACATTTTTCTTACATCTTTCTTTCACTTCATTCAAGAGCACTCTGCGTAGTGTCCTTTAACGGTCCATCTCGCAATGCCTTTTGGTCAGGTTCAAGTCCTTTCAAAGCGGAGCTGCGACCTTTTTGCGGAGAAGCCTAGAACTCCAACTGCTGAAACACTGGGCAAACTTGCAGCTTTCCGCAAGGACTCCTACTGAAGTTGCTTTCTATACAGCCGAAAGGAGCCAATTATATAAACGCAACTGACTTAACTCACTTAATGCGCAATGTAGTCCATAAAGGTATGTGCCTTATGGTATGCCTTGAAATGGTAAGGGATGCATAACACTTCTATAAACTCCAGAAATCTCCAGAGTAAGTCAGCTGTGCTACCAAGACAGAAACAACCACTCAACAGACTAATTTCTTTCCTGGTTTGGGCGACATGCCGTCTAAATCCTTTGGTCCATGTAAAGAGGTCGCTGACAGTAAAACACTGGACTTAGCGACTGTGCATTTTCAAGGGAACAGAAATAAGAGCAGATGAAGCAGAAAGAACACAGCATGTACAGCATCTCAAAGCCCAGAACCTTGAAGAAATGAACAAGGCATGACGAGACAAAGGCAACTGCAGGGTGATATCCAAGGCGACAGACAGCAGTGCTTGCCCGCTGGCCCATAGGTCCCTAAACTCTTGTTGAATGTCAACAGAACTTGCTACAATCCTTCACCTCAACTTTCTAAACTTTCTCTCGATCTTGGAAATGCCTAGAGCCGAGCTTTCGTCGCCTTTTTGCCTTCCGGATGTTTCTTTTTCTTGATGTTCATTTCACCAGCCCTGTTCCCTGGCTTTGTTCCAATGCTAAGAATTTGGTTGTGTTGTTCACTTGTGTCTCTTTGATAATCGGAAGTCTGTTAGATAGCAATGCGGGGACAGTTTGAAGACATTTCCGGATTTTCCATCGGAATGGCATCTATTTGCTTTGTAGAAGCTGAGACAAAACGAGAGACAGCATCAAGTGGGAAGTTGTTCTTTTCCTCGGTCTGCAAAGAGCTTGAGGGATGTGAACTAAAACGAAGAATCAGAATTTGCCTACAGTCAGAAGTTGTTCTTTTCCTCAGTCTGCAAAGAGCTTGAGCGATGTGAACTAAAACGAAGAATCAGAAATTGCCTACAGTCAGAATTTGTTCGAAATGCAGACTATGTTCTGAAGGTAACAAAGGCACGATTTATGGATGCAAAGAGCTGCGTCGACTACAGAAATCTAATCAATCAACAAGTGAAAGGAATGGTCGAGTTGAGGACGTTGTAGGGTAAGGTCAACCATGGCATCCTTTGCTGCTCGGAACAGGAAGGAGGTTCGACCCTGGCCATCAAATCTTCACGAATCGCTCATCCCTGCCCATCCTAACATGCACGAGGCTATGCTTAGGAGATGACATTGATGACGTTGATATCAGTATCTTGACGAAAAGATAGGGAAGATAGGAAAGAAGGAATCAATGGCCGATGTTGAGGCTAAAAGCGCTTCCCATGGGACCTCAATGCTTTTGTTGACCTGCATACACCCTTGAATCAGCAACTCAGCCTGAATGAGTTTGTAATGTTTTATGGTTGTTTCATGCAATTGCCTGCTCCTGGGACTTGTGAGAAGTCATTTGACGTGCCTTCACATGCACCACGCACAGAAGAAATAGGAATAAATATCATTCGAACACAAACGCCAAGATGAAGGCATTCATTTGTCCCTAGTTTTGTGTACATTGCTTCAGGACATGGAAGATGGCAGAAGGCAGAATTTGATGGCCAAGGCATGAATGATATCGAATGATGCTCCATGCCAACACCCACTTTTGGTCGAACTCTTGTGTTGCGCTGCTTCGCTGCTGCGCTGCTGCACTACTTGCTTCGAGGTAAAAAAAGAAAAAGCTGAGAAAAGAAAGGCTGAGCAGCAAGCCAAAGCCCAGGCGATTGTGCAACAAGAGATGCAGTGCTGAATGCAGTGCTAGATCCAGTGCCGCGCTTTTGTATGTCAATCTGTGCAAGTTGAAGCTGCTTCGAAGAATCTTCGAAGTGTGCAGTTTGCATATTGTGAGGCAAGGAAGTCAGTGCACCAGGTCGAGCAGGCAAAGCTTGCACTGGGCTCTAGCTTTGCAGGATTTTGCAGGTCTTGCACGACCGACGGCACTTTGTTCAACGGAACCAGGGAAATCCATGAACATCCCATTCTTCCCATTTATCATTTATATACAGCAATTTCAATCGTCTTCATACTCGTAGCTCGGCCTTATCTTTCTACCCAGCCATATGCAACAAATGCAAAACCTTCAAAGTAGACTTTGATTTTCCTCGGCACCACTCCTTTTTGCTGACAGTTGTGAAGTGTTCACTTCTGTAACCGTTTTCTTTCTTGTCACACGTGTCAAATTTCTATGGTGAAAGTGCGCACCTCCAAAAAATGCAACAGCTGTGTAGCTTTGGGAGCGCAGGCCTCAGAGGCTTCAACCTCCAAGCGGACAATGCAGGTGGGCAAGGGATTTGTAGCCGCCAAGCTGCTCATGGAAATAAACGTGGGCGTACTGTCATGTGGACCCACAGAACTATTCAGTTCATTTTCTATTTAGTTCAATTTTATACTTGGACGAGCTAGGGTTTTGCGGTATATACTAGTGAAATTCAATTTATTGAGTTTAAATGGTTTTGCACCAGAAAACTTAGGGAGAAACACTATTTCCTCCGCTGTGCCAGTGGTGTTTGGAATGCAAATTGGGCAAGGCCGACGTGTTCCAACAGCAAAACCAAATGATCCAAATGCGATTTTACTACCTGGACAGATTCAATCATTGACGGTCATTGACGCGTCAATCAAACGTGACCAGGGATTTGCGATCGACAAATCGGCATTGGCTTGCGTCAACTCTGAATTTATCGCGGCCCTGCCTGAATATGATAGCCACCCAGCATGGCATGTCGCTGCCATCTTGATGAGATTGCTCAGTGAAAGCAGCCCCATATACATTGTCTATAAATCAACAGTAAATCAAAAGCAACTGATGCTGTACTTTGTTTCTGACTTGATGTGCTGTCAGGGTAGGCCCTATAGCAAGCACTTCTCGATTGTCAGTGCATCAGCCACCACCCGCGCACTCACAAGGCATCTTGAAATAGCGTACCTAAAACAGGGACAACACGTACCGACAGTGATGGACAAGGAATGCCCAACATGTCCAACCATATCAGCCTGACACGGCTATGCAGCTATGCAGCAATGGCAATCAAAACAAGAAACAATGTCTCCATATGGCAACAGCCAGAAGTCAATTCACACCTGACATGTCAGCCCGAAACCCAATTGTGAGGATAGAGCTTTTCGACTGCAACTCCTTAAGCACAATGTGATCTCTTTGCAAGGGTGACTTCCCACAATGTGCATTTGTTTGGATAGTCCAGTAGGCAGAATACCAAAACAATCCTAAACATACCATTGTTGCAGCTCAGAGTTGGCAATTGGTCTTCCTATATACAGTGCTGCACTTTTATTCCAACATGTTCTACTTTGGGCAGAAGCAAACTACGTTGACTTCTCTTACCTACAACCCGCTAAACCAGCTCGCATGTGACAAGATCCAGTTCACATGGTTTCGTGAGTACTCAGCGTGGCCATAATTATGCTCATAACACCCTTTGCAAATCGGGCAAGCACTATCTACAGCGCGATCTACAGAAAACCTCCTAACAGCAATGCGCTGTCCATGTTTCTTGTGCACTGTTCCCTTTTCTTGAACATGAACAGCCAAGGCTGCCTGACCGCCTAAAACAGATGGGACGTGTAAGAGCATCTTCATTAGTTGTCCAAAGGCAACCCTAAGATCTCGTGCCAGGTGAAAGTTCCCGAGAAGCCTTCCACAATCCACATGAACGCGAATTTGCAGCGTGGAGCTGCGAACACTGTGAATACCACTTTGTTGCGTGAGGTTCCTGGTGTGTTTGCATCCCACATGTTTTTGTGCAGGTCTTGATGGATCCAGATGGATCCAGATGGATCCAGATGGATCCAGATGGATCCAGCATCTCAAGATATAGAGTGTTGATGGGTGTTGATGGGTGTCTTTGGAACGGCTCAACGGCTCTTGTTTCTTGATCATCTTTGACATCTTCGCCCTTCAAAATCCTGGCAGGCCCTGGCCCTGGCAACTAGCACCACCTCTGCAGGCAGCCTTTGTTTTCACATGTTTTCACTTTCGCCGGAACGAATTGCCTTGAAGAAGTCTCGAAGTGTACGTAAGTGTGCTGGAGAAACATGGGTCTCATCATGAGAAGAAGCTTGACAGATGAGCAGGCTTGATGATTGCTTCGCTTGTGAATGGACTGAATGGACCGCTTTCCGGGGGCCTGGCCAGGAAGAATGAGCATGGGGCTGTTCACAAGCGCAACTGCCTGGGACCAAGGGGAATAGAACAATGAGAGCAGAGATCCCATGAAATCCCCCAACTCTTTGGTTTTATCAAGTTTTATCCCACTTTGAAAACAGCCAAACTGAGGGTGAGAGGAAAACCATGGGGCATCCGGGTCTTGGCCGACAAACTCTGGATCCATCGATGTCGGGACCCTCGGATCCGAGTTCACTCCTTGAAGCCTTTCGCCGCGAACTCGCAGCGAGTCAAGCGAGTCAAGCAGCGAGCGCAGCGAGCGCCGACGCTGCCAGTGCTGCCAGTGCTGCCAGAGCAGATGATGCTCCACCGGCAGCCGATGCCCCAGCCAAAGTCAAGGGCAAGCCCAGCGTGTCAAGCGAGTTTCGAGCTGCTCGCCTCGAAACCATGAGACATGAATTCGGTTGAAAAATCCTGATCCGTCTAATCTTCTGAGATGATCAGGTTGGGAGGGCAACCCATAAAAGCAAATATACAAACAAGCAAGCACATGGGTACCCATATGTCCTCGGAGGGTCTCAGTATTCTTTCTTCTTTACTTACTTCTTGATACTTCTTGCATATGTTTTCTTATTTTTGCTCTTGTCCCATTTGTTTTTATTCGTCTTTTCTATGTGTTCCTATTATTTTCTCCATATTTTCTTATTATCCTTGCTTGCTGTTGCTTTTTGCTTATATATTTTCTTATGGTTCCATACGAAACCTCCTTTTCTTGTATTATATATACAATTCGCATATTTCCGTTTTTATTTTTCGAGGTTTGCGGCATCGTTTCCTACTAACTGGCAACCTCATGCTTGTGGGTGATCTAAGGTACTTCTTGAAAACACTTTTTTCCCCACATCTTTGTGTGTGGTTCTTGTTTTTGGTTCTGCACTCCCGCCTTCTCCTGCCCTCCTCCCGCCGCCTTCCTCCTCCACAACACACACACACAACTTCCTCACACACAACTTGTCCACACACAACTTGTCCACACACAACTTGTCCACACTTACTCACACACAACTTGTCCACACAGAACTTGTCCACACACACCTTGCTCACACACACACACAACTTGTCCACACACAACTTGTTCCACACTTACTCACACACACAACTTGTCCACACAGAACTTGCTCACACACACAACTTGTCACGAAAGGTAGCGTCAGCTACCTGAGTTCTCCGTGCTTCAGCACAATCATAGGGGGTATTGGGGGGCCAGCCCGTGCAAAACGTAGAATTCTCGACGTTATGTATTAGATATCAATTATAGGGGGGGGGGGTCATGGGTTCAATTCCCACGGGTGACGCGGTCACGGTCCGCCACAGTACAGGCACACTCTCCATGAGGGAGATGTCCCTGTAGTCCAGCATAATTGGTTTGCTTCAGCCTCAATAACACTTGCTGCAAGGGGTCTTAAAAAGGGGTTTTAAATAAACCCCTTTTCGTGCATCATTTCACGCTGCACAAGACACCGTATCATGCAGTTATGCTCTGGATAAAATCATCTTAGACTGCGCAAAAAAGTTTTTGGTGTATCATCTTAGGGGCGCAGCATTTTGACACCACTCCTCTCCCACTACACTACCTTTCGTCCGCCTCCGCCTGCTCTCAAGTCAACACTTACTCACACACACACACAACTTGTCCACACACAACTTGTCCACACTTACTCACACACAACTTGTCCACACAGACCTTGCTCACACACAACTTGTCCACACACAACTTGTCCACACACAACTTGTCCTCACACAACTTGTCCTCACACAACTTGTCATCACACAACTTGTCCACACACAACTTGTCCTCACCAAATCGCTTACACACAACTTGTCCACCTTCACTTTGCGTGGCAGGCGTGGTACGTGGTGACATCGACCTTCACTTTGTGTGGCAGGCATGGCACGTATGGCATTGGGCTGGCTCCGGTGGCGCGCTTGGGCCGGAGTGGCCGGGGTGGCCGCCGCGGCTGTTGGCATGGCAGGCGTGGCACTTTGCGACATCCACCTTCGTTTCACGTGGCAGGCGTGGTACGTGGTGACATCGACCTTCACTTTGCGTGGCAGGCGTGGCACGTATGGCATCGGGCTGGCTCGGGTGGCGCGCTTGGGCCGGAGTGGCCGGGGTGGCCGCCGCGGCTGTTGGCGTGGCAGGCGTGGCACTTTGAGACATCCACCTTGGTTTCACGTGGCAGGCGTGGTACCTGGTGACATCGACCTTCACTTTGCGTGGTAGGCGTGGCACGTATGGCATTGGGCTGGCTCCGGTGGCGCGCTTGGGCCGGAGTGGCCGGGGTGGCCGGGGTGGCCGCCGCGGCTGTTGGCGTGGCAGGCGTGGCACTTTGAGACATCCACCTTGGTTTCACGTGGCAGGCGTGGTACTTGGTGACATCGACCTTCACTTTGCGTGGCAGGCGTGGCACGTATGGCATCGGGCTGGCTCGGGTGGCGCGCTTGGGCCGGAGTGGCCGGGGTGGCCGCCGCGGCTGTTGGCGTGGCAGGCGTGGCACTTTGCGACATCCACCTTCGTTTCACTTGGCAGGCGTGGTACGTGGTGACATCGACCTTCACTTTGCGTGGCAGGCGTGGCACGTATGGCATTGGGCTGGCTCCGGTGGCGCGCTTGGGCCGGAGTGGCCGGGGTGGCCGGGGTGGCCGCCGCGGCTGTTGGCGTGGCAGGCGTGGCACTTTGAGACATCCACCTTGGTTTCACGTGGCAGGCGTGGTACTTGGTGACATCGACCTTCACTTTGCGTGGCAGGCGTGGCACGTATGGCATTGGGCGGGAGTGTGCAAGATACGGCAGCTGGATTTCTTTTCAACCACTTCTCCTAATACTCTCTCCATGGCGCCCTTTGCCGCTGTCATTGTGGTGGTTCCCCAGGACCTGTTGAGTTGCACGGAGGCAAGTTAGACAACTGCATACACATGTTCACAACGCATACGCATGTTCACACATATATGACCATGTTATATATTTGTAAAGTTACTTATTTATTTATCTCGCTGAGAAATGGTATCTGGTTATTTTATTTATATAGATATTTGCGCGCGTGCGTGTGTGAGCAAGAGTGTGTGTGTGTGTGGGTGCTGCTTGTGTGAATCATTTGTGGCTGTTCCTGTGTGCCCGATCACGAGAGCCGCGGCAGGATTTTGTGTGGTCTTTTGACCACGCCTGGTCGAACCAATGTGACTCCCTCGATTTCAACGACTGGCTGCACCCATGCACTCCTTTGAAATTAGTTTTGTGTGTTGTAGGGAAGCTGATGGAACGGCAGATGCTGCAGGAGCAGCTCCACCACACGAACGAGGCAGGGCCGGAGGATGGGCATAGATATGTGTCATTGTATTACCTTGATTTGCTGCACCGCAGGCCACCAAGCCAGCTTCCGAAGAGGACATGAAAGCAGAAAGTATCAGAAAGTTGTGTTCGATGTTGCATTGCACCCTGGCCGTGTATAGGAGCTCTTTTGTGGCCTCACCCGGGCCGAGCTTGACTGGCTGCAAAGCGGCGTGGAGGTACGCCCGGCTTTTCCTTTCACTCTTTTCGCGCATTGTCCTGTTCACTTCGTGCCGCCTTGCTTGCAGGTTCCTGTGCCGAAGCGCGCGGCACCAAAGCGCCGTTTTCGGCCGGTGCCGACCCGGGTATTCTTCTTTGATGCGCGCGAGAAGGACTTGGGATAAAACATCTGTAGTCAAGGGATTACACTCCGGACGTCACTGCCGCTACTTACTCATTTTGCAGGGGGCCTCTGGTGGATTGGACTGCGCTGCACGACGATGGCGGAACGCCCGCAAGGCGGCTGCGAAGGCGGGCCAACCTGGCGTGAAGGGTTCGGTGGGCTGTGGTGGCACGTGCCGTTGCTATGGTTCTTTTCTGGTTACTTGAGGCAGGCGGCGAAGTTCCGTTCGCAGCCGTCTTCTGCGCTCAATCAGGCGGTTACCGCTGCAGCCTCAGCAAAGTTGATTTTG